GAACTCGATGGCTGGTTCTCGAAAAGATACGCTACTTCCTATCGAAGCACAAACCCTATTTCTGGAAATAATGGAGAAGCATAAAAAATGTAATATCATTTATACTGATGCTTCAAAAGTAAACGACGAAATAGGATGTGCTATTGTCAACTCTCAAATAGAAAAGTATTTCAAACTTCCGGAGATCTGCTCTGTATTTAGTGGAGAGATGATCGCTATTAGAGAAGCTTTGACGTACATTGATTCAACGGAGAGTAACAAATGGGTCGTGGTAACCGATTCAAAGAGCGCAATCCTGGCCATTGAAAAGAGAACACCAACAACTACACTGGCAAGATCTATTAAAAATATCTGGTGGAAACTGACAGAAAAGGGAAAGGAAATAGTATTCATGTGGGTTCCTTCACACTGCGGAATTGTCGGAAATGAACAGGCAGACAAAGCAGCAAATATGGCGAGAAGGCTAGATACAAATCCAACAGTTATAATCAAAGAAATCCCGATAGAAGATTTCATACATGATATAAAAAAAAAATTGCGGGTAATGTGGCAGAACGTATGGCAACAAAAAGAAACCAAATTAAAAGGAATAAAAAGCCACTGTTCCAAATGGAAAACTAGCAACCGACTATCTAGAAAAGAAGAGACAGTCCTCTGCCGCTTACGAATTGGGCATTGCGAATTTTCACACGCCTACTTACTAAGAGGACTAGACCCACCGACCTGCGAAAGCTGTAAGGTGCAAAGAACTGTCCAACACATCATTCAAGACTGCCCAGTATTTGAGAATGTAAGGAAAAATCTCAATATGGCTCAGAGCCTAAAAGAAAACCTCAGCGACAACGAAAACGCCGTGGAAAAAACCTTACAGTTTTTAAAAAAAATAAAATTCTACAATAGAATATAAATAGGAAGTGTTGCCAATGACCCTGCAGGGTAGAGGCAACAATAAAAAACAAATAAATAAATAAATAATTCAAAAATGAGCTGAAGATTAAATTTGAACTCTTATTCTCAGTCAGAGAATAGACAGTTCGAAGGATGTGGGTAACCTAATATACTTAATTACATAATTACAACTTTTTTTGGGCAAACCAAGTTTTCAGGATATATAACAAATGTAACGCAAGTAAAACATATCAATATTATTGGTTAATTTTAAAATTTCTGTTTTTACAAAAAAAAAATCTTAAAAGTATCATTTTTTTTTTTATTGATTACCAAATTTTTTAAAAGTAAAAATACTTTTTTTTCTTAATGATATTTACAACTGTATTAAAGAAATACATTTAGTAAATTTGAACATATGTATATAATGACGTGAAAACACTTATTGAGAAACTACCCAATCGTAGAACTCTAATGATGCCTCTACATTAGGAGATCACAGAGCCATCTTATTTTCAGACGCCTCGGAGAGTTATCAGGAATTGAAGAGGAATCAAGGTTAGAAACAAGAGGGTTGGGATGATTCTGAAGTTTATTATAGAAGGATAAGTATCTGGATTGGGCCAGATCTGAAACATGAGAAACATTAAGGTCATTATGGATGGTTTTATCTGTAACAAAGTAGGGAGCATTGAGGATTTTATGAAGGATTTTGGATTGGATATGAGAGGAATTCGATGGTTTAGTGGAGCCCCATAGTTCAACTCCGCAAGTCCAAATAGGCCTTATTATAGTCATGTATATGAGTCTTTTGTAATTAATTGGAAGTTTAGAGCGTTTGTCTAGTAACTGCTGAAGTAATCGGAAACATCGAGTGGTTTCTTGCCGTTTCAGTCTGTTACGAAGTAAAAAATACTAAAAAAAAACAAAAAACTTTTAATCAAATTTTTAAATACTAGTAATATTATATAGGGATGCTGATGATCTTTAAATCCTTATGATTAAACTCAGCAAATTAAAAGCTATTAATAGATAAGCTATTAGAAGCTCAAACCACTATTAAAAGACCACCTATCTTTCATTGCGCTCATCAAAAACTTAGTATTTTAAATGAGGTAATAAAAATCCATGAACACCCATTTGCTTTCCACATGAATTGTATGATAATTTGATCACAAAATTGGGAAAAAGGTGGTCTACAAAAATATTGGGCCGTTGGCATTATTTGACTAGGGATGAGTGAGATTGTATGTATCAGATACTTTGTACCCGATACTAAAAAGGAGCAGATACAACCCAAAAGTATCTAATACAGATACTCACATGGATACAAATTATTGTACAAATCTACCAGATAGATAGAAGAGGAATGTTATATTTGTGTAGTTGTACACAATTTCTTTAAAACTATCTATTCATTTATTTTAATTTAATTAAATGTTTATTTGTAGATCGATTCACACTTTTTTTTTTTAATGTAATGTTTATTGGTATAAACTTTCTCTAAAATTGACAATTCTTTTGTTTTAGTTCAGATTTTATGACTTATTTACTACTTGTTAATACTTATTTACTACTTTAATGACTTATTTAATACTTTTTTAATAAATTTTAAATACTATTTTATAATTCTATTGATTAAATATATTTTCACATCTACTATTTTAGTACAGTTTTGTTATACTTCTTTTTACATTTAACTCAAAATATTCATTCATAATATTTGTAGAAAATCTTCATTTCCGATTTTATATGTACATCCCGTTATTTTACTTCTAAGCCAATTATGTAGTTTTAATTCAAATTTAAAATATTCAATATTCAAATTGAATATTTTGGTGAGTGGTAAAAGTACTGAGTAAGTTAAGTATTGAGGTAGAGGTGAATATATAGATCATTTGGTTTTATGTGATTGGAATAAATTAGATTTTCCAGTTGATTATTGGAATTGGAAATAATGCAGACAAACATTATAGCTATTTGAAAACCGAGATAAATGATTTAATTAAAGAAAATGAGAAATATTTCAGTAAGTAAGATGTGAAAGCTGCCCCAGAGTGACATCAGTTTAGCAGTGCAAGGCCAGTATCAACGAGCAGGATGGGGGACAAATAAAAGTACCTATCAGTGTATCAAGTCCAAGTATCTAACCTTCAATGTATAAAATAATAGCGGCATGGATACTTTTATGCATCACCCACTTAACATTCCTAGAAACATTTATTAGTATTATTGTAAGATTTTAGAAGGGAGTGGTCATACACATTTGCATGAATACTGCATTAGACACAAAGTAATAGGAAGATAATGACAAACTACTCACTATTTATCAGATACAAACTACGCACAATACAAAAGTATCAGACACAAAAAAGTAGTAGTATCAGTTGTATCTAGATACAAAAATTCTTGTGTCAACTTCTGCCTAGGCATGAACTCCATCTCCAACACGTCAAAATAATCAAATTGTCTTACAATTCAAGTGGAGAGCAAAAGGGTATTCATGAGTTTTAGCAGAGATGGACAAATACTACTTTGAGTACCGACTACCAAGTATTTTACTCAAATTGAATCACTTTTGGAAATTCAGTCACTACTATAGTTAACCGTTTGTTATCAACTGAATTAATAATTAAATTCTTTGGTACTCACAAAAGGTAAAATATTTGGTACTCAGTGCTCAGAATAGCATTTGCCCATCTCTGGGTTTTAGTAACTTATTAATCAATGTAATGAGAAAAGCCCCAGAAAACGTCTCTGACGATTTTCTTAGAATAAAACAATTTTAGGTAACAATGAATTGTTGGATTATTAAGTGTTACAGCCAACAACAAAAACAACATAATGTAACTAAAAGGTTACTTGTGCATATAAGGTTATGTATATGTGAAAAAACATGTTATACGGCATAAACATTAATAAGATATTTTTATTTATTTTTTCTCCATGATGATGAAATACCTTACTATCAGTTTTTGTTTGTTTAAATTAGCTTTTTATATTTTTAAAAACTAATTTACTTATATGTCATAAATAAAGAAAATATGAAGTGTCAAAAATCATATATGCCCTGAATGGACTTTCAACTTGCATGGTTTATGTATTGGTATACAGTGGCAGATCCAGGAATGTTCTGAGGGGAGGGAGGTGCACTTCCTACTTCAAATGATATTCTACAAAATTGGTTATGGGAGTATTTTCAGATAAACTGTACTAAAAAATATTTTCAAATCATAGCCTTGTATATCAGAAGTTGTTCCAGATTTGCTATCATGTTATATATAAAACATACTGAAAACTTAATGTTCTTTAATACTTGTAAAAACAATAATGAAATGTTCCGGAAGCAACATTTTTTAAGATGGCGGGCAAGCCACTCCATAAAAGTCACTATGGAGATAGAAAACTTCGATAAATCAGGTGTGCACATCCTGAGCTACATCCCATCATTTTTCGAGAACTAGTTTTAGGAGAAACATCTGGCTAGCATGCTCCTTCCTCTTACCAATCTAGTTCAAATATCTCTTGTAATAGGGATATATGGGGTTTAGAAGGATATTGGTCCTTATCTTATAGATGACAAGAAAGAGTTACAGACAAAAATAAATTACGAATCCGCGTCCCGGTGCCTAGGGGGTCTTATAAGTGTGGCATTAATCTCCCACTCTTACCGTCAGGCCCAGGAAAATTCCCCTATAAACTAAAAGGCAGAGAAGGAGAGGACCAAAAAAAAAAAAGTGACAAAAAAGAGTGTTATGCTTCTGTAATTATTATACTCATACATGGAGCTTTCCCCATATTCCAAGCATTTGGTATTCCTTTCCTCCTCCCATATTTTGTGAATTAGTTGTAGTAATATGGCTCGTAAGTTCTCATACTTCATAGTTATTAATTAATTCCAAGCCTAGATATAAACTAAATATAACATCAATGGAATGAATCGCCAACACCAACTGGTTTCATATGTTTGTATACCTTACTTACATCCTATACAGTACGAGTTACAGAACTGTTCATCAAATCATTAACAATCTCTTTTGATAAAAAAGATATCTGTACTGTGACAGCTATCAAACAATGAAAATGACAAGGAAAAAAAAAAAAAAAAGATGTAACTTTAAATAAAAATATTTATTTTGCCGGTTAAAAGCGATTTCTCTGTTTTACATTAATAAATACAAATGCTTAAGGGTGATGTACGCTTAGAAAGGATTTTTTTTCTTTTTTTTTTTTAAATATAATATAAAATTAAGCAGATATAATAGAGCAGCTTCAAATTTAGGTAAGTAAATAAGTACATGTATAGAGATCATATATACATATACTTATATACATACATAGATACAATTATGATTTATATAGATATGTGAATAAAAGAAAATAACAATAACTCTCTTTTACATAATATTAATTCAGGCACTCTTTTCATTATAAATATAGCTAAATTAGTCTTAACAATAAAGTTTAACATCCTCCACCTTTTTCTTTTTTTAATTTTTTTTTCTCATTAATAATTATACTCTCTCTTTATAAATATTCGTATTTTATATATAATTTTATAAAAATGTGAGACAACAGGCTTACGTTCATGGCCTGCTAGTTTGTTCATAAAGTTAGCAAGTATTGTCAATATTAAATAAAAGAAATCTTATATAAAAAGTTTGGACCTCAGGGAAATATTAAATATAAAACAAAAGCATAATCACTTCTAGTGCCATTAGGTTTAAACGAGCGTATTATCACACGTGTTTAATGAAAGAAAAAAAGTGTGGATATGTACAAGGTGCATAAGTGTTTACCTTCTCGATTTAAATCTAAATAGCAACAAATATATATATATAAAAAAATAAATAATTCTTTTAAATTTGTTCTTAAAAACAATTCTCCATCAAGCGGGAACTGAATCTGTGTCCATATCTTCCATCCTTGCAAGTGGAGCTTTACGTACCTATAATAAGAAATTCATTGTAATACCCATTTACAAATTTAAATTAATACAGAATCATTTTCAAAAACCATTTGCATAGTTATAAATAATATGTTGTATTTAAAAAAAAATATATGACCGCTACATTATAATCTCAAATGATATATTGTCTGACAAAATCTTATGAAAGAGAGCATGTCTAAAGGATTACATTATTAATGATTGCATAATTTATTTAAGAATGGCAAAGTTATTCAAATAGTTTTGGCTTACTACTAAAGCTTAAATTAATCGCCATCAAAAGTGGAAGGAACTATATGCCTTCAAACTTGAAATTCTTGTTTATTAACCAGAAGAGGTAGACTTAAAAGGGTACCATTACATGAATAAAAATTATAACAATACAGTATACTTAAAGATGCTAAAAATGTGAATTAGAAAAATAATATGAAATTATTTTGAATAATTCCATTTCAGAACGAGTAAACATTATTGTCCTATCAACAATTTAAAGAAGCAAGAATAGAGTAATCATAACAAAAAATATTAAGAAGTTATTTTAAGTCCTGTACAATATGAGTTAAAGAAACCATATTGAAAATGTATTCTAAAAGAATAAATTGAGATGACGCCCATTATGGATCTGATTCTTTTTTTTTATATTACAAACTGTGCCCCTGCAAACATTGCAGGCGGGGGAGAGAGGGGAGAGTCAAGAGGGTAATGCGTGTGCACAGTAACCCGGATAATTAGATAAAATAACTAGGAGTTCATGTGCCATTATTTCCTCGCCCCTCATCCCCTGGTCCAGCAAAACCCTGTATAGCCTAAAAGGCGAAGACAAAAAAAAAATAAAATAATGATCTTTATTATCTTGCTTTCTCTCTTTTCTTTAAACACAACATACATATTACAAATCAAATGGTTTAGAGATATATGTGCTTGTTACACACCAAATGTTTTAAAAATTTTTTTTAATTTTAATTTTAATTTATAATTTTTTTATTTTTAATAACAGAGCAACTTTTGCATAACAAAGAAATGTTATATAATAATAAAAAACTATATAATACTAACAATTTTTTTATCAACAAAGCGGAAACGTATCTCAAACACTTTTTAGAAAAGAAAAATATAAGAATTACAATTAAAATTTAAACAGTTTCATGATATAAATGAGGAAAACATAAAAAATTACTTCTCTCTCATAATTATACCAATTAAAAATATTTTTATAATACATAAGTAAGTTATTTTTGGAAATGGAATTATTTAAAAATCTAAAGCATCTCGAAAATCTCAAAACTACAATTATATATTAAAACTAGGACGATTTTCGTGATACAAATACAGTGTCAAAGATTTTTGTGATATTCATAACTTGAGATACTAGTATATAAATTCCTGCATCCACACAAGTGTCGGAAATTAACATTATTAAAGCTTTCATCAATATATATCAGGGGTGGAACCAATCCCCTAAACTGTTCCTACACTGAACTGAATCAACGTGCATATTACAGTGGAAAACAGAAACATGCACAGCAAAAATTACAGACAGTTTCATAATCTAAAGCCACTTCAAACTACGTTCGTTAGTACACAGGAGTAGTTCCATAGTATACTACTAAAAAGCATACATGCAAGAATAGATTGGAAACGTTATTCTTACTGAACAACATATAATTATATACATACACATATTACAATTCAAAATATATAAATAATACAAAATTTAACGGTAATGAACATGATGATAAGCAACCTTAAACACTTAAATTAGACATATAGAGGAAAAGAGGGTCGCTGAAAGTAATAGATTAGTTTCAAAGCCCGCTCAATCAACAATTTTTATATTTTTTTTAACAAGTTATTTATGGACATATCACAAAGTGTCTCAATATTAGTTACCTAGATCAAGTAGAACCAAACCTAATTTTTTTCTTATATTTTGGCTGTAAAATTTTAAAATTGAATGAACTGCTTTAGAAATAACTGCCTTACTTTTAGTATCAAACTGTTGATTATTCTACATGCACTTTTAAAAACTTAAATGTTAATTAACTGTGCATTTCATCAATTTCTTTTTTTTAAGACATTAGTGTTTATATTGAAATGAGGATCCTGAGACTGGGAAAACCAGGCAAAAAAAGTGAATGCCAGAAAATATATCAAGAAAGGAGCTAACAAAAATTCTTTTCGGTAAAATCTTTGATAAAAATTACTAGGCGATTATTAAAAAATAATATTTAATATCTTACATTAATTGAAGAAGAATCAATTGATGAAACAGTAGAGACAAGAAACCATGAAAACCAACCGATTTCTTTAGTTTTCAACTGGATTTTAGTTCTATTCCTTTTGTTTTTGTTATTTTTATATAGTATATACGGTGTGAATGAGTCCCACATAGCTCTAATACTTAGTGTCCTTAAGTGTGGAAAAATTTATTACTGTTTAATAAAATAAATAAGACACAAAAATAAAAATTATCTTGAACATAGAAAAAGTTAACATCACTCCATAAACATAAATTATATATATATATATATATAATAAAATATTAAACAAACAAGCATATTCAAATTTACACCCATAGCATATTCATGAAAATTAAAATTAAAAACTTAAACAAGAATAATTTCTGTCTTACTAAATAAGACATCACAGAAAGGTAATAAAATAGGAAAAGCTGCGAAATAAAAATGTATCTACAAATTTAAAATAAAATTCAAGGCAAGGAATGTTAAAATGGGGGAGGGAGAGAGTTGTTTTCAGACCACAAGTCTGTTAAAGAAAAGAAAACTAAAAATATATAAAATAATTTAAAAAATACAAATGACGATTTTAAATGTGCGCACATTTGTTTTCACTTCAACTAAATTATAGTAAAAAGTTGTATAATTAATCAGACCAATATATGGTGTTATTTATTACAACAAACTTCCACTGAACCATTACAATTCTACAAGAAGCAGTGGCATTAAAAAGTATTCGTCCATAACCATAGCTTTGATAACTTCATACCAAAGCAATTTCACTGCAAGAAATTCTTAATAAGTAAAAAAATAGGATGCAAAACTTTAACAAATAAACTTGAAAATAAAACGGCCATGCCTTTTAGACAAATTTATAGTTATGTTTACTATTTGAAATTTGAAAATGTCAAGAAGAAATAATACATTTTGTATTGTTGTTATTTCAAAGATTATATTTAATACATATAATGAAAATTTTAATATGCAGAAAAATTGAAATATCAAATAATAAAGGTTACTCAATATTTTATGGAATTAGAAATCTTAAAAAATACATTTCATTACTATATTTATTGTCACAGTATTTAATTCCACTTGTAAAGCTATTGTTTATTGTATTGTTTCCCATATTTTAAATAGAAATGAAATGGAACAAATAAATAAATATTATGTTTTTACTCTCACTACCTATATATAAAATATATAGTAAGATAAAGAATTGTAATCGTGAAAATTTTCGAAATATACATTCTGAGGTCCCCTGTTTCCAAATAACCAAGTCTTGCAAAATGGTTTGTGTGTCTGTTAACAGCCTAGCTCAAAAACGAAAAATCCTACAAAACTGAAATTGCGCATTTAGGGTTTGTATATGTCTGGGATGTTAAAGCAACTTTTTCATCAAAATCAGCTAACCAGAAGTGCCTCTTTATATCATTGATTTAACATGTTTCTACAAATTTTCTCAAAAACCCATTTAACTATTTTGATTAAACTCATCATAAGGTAATGTATTATGAAGTGGGTATGAATTTAAGGTAGGTTAATATAATGTATAGGTTAATATAATTATGAATTTTAGGATAATCTTCATTGATGCAACCTGACAGGACTTGAATGACAAATTTTCAAAATTTCTTCCTCTAGAGTATCTTTGATTTTATTTATTTGAAATAATTAATCACTTCAAATTATAATATGGCATAACAAATGGTTAAATATGAACTATGAAAGAGTGGGTAATTAACTAAAGCAGAAATAAAGGATCACTCTATAGAACCAAAGAAATCCAAGCGCAAACCAGAGATTGGCAGAAAGGTACTAGACTTCCAAAATTAACATGTGCGGTTTTTGTAAATGCATTGGTATCATATAATATTGGTATTGATTATAGCATATATATATATATATATATATATATATATATATATATATATATATATATATATATATATATATATATATATATATATATATATATATATATATATATATATATAAATATATATAGCACTCTTGTAACTGAAAAATATTTCTTGGCACTTAATTATTTATTATAATTAAAATAAATGGAAATTAATTGTTTTAAATAATACTTTGTACCATCTGTAATTTTTACTTTCACTTCTCTTCATCCAAAAATTCCTATTTCTGCAAAGAGAAAAGTAGGGTAAGTGAAAGTTGTGTGATACTTGCACCTCATCAGATTTTTTTATTTTGGTTTACTATTTTAAATAATAGACCTCTGTAATCAATGAAGAATAAAAAGTTTTAATCTTCACAAATTTAAAGTTTTGCATTTAAAAAGATAAAAAAAAATTGAAAAGTGTTTCCTTACAACTTTTTATATACTCTTAATACTTAAATCATTTAATGAAAACTATAATTTGTTCTTAATGTCTGGGCTTTAGCCCGCCCTTGGTCTTAAAGGATCAATTAAAATGTAAAAATAAATAAGTAAGAAATATATGACTGAACGCATTTTCTATGGGAGAAATCAAAGAAAGCATTTTGGATAATAAGAAGTTTGGATTATTCAGACAAAGTTTCAAAAAGGATCAGTCAACAGATAAAAGTTATTACATCAATCAAAGGTGGGAACTAGCCCAACAACCTCTGTGTGCATAATATGGCTGCTTTAAGTTTAGCGCATGATAAATTACTTTGTTGTTATTTTTGCCATAAATTTTTTTTATTATTAATATTATATTTTTAAATTAATATGACTTAGTAGTCAGGTTTAGTAGTATACCAAATATATTGTTGTTTTAATTAATTATACATCAACAAAATATAAAATTTTAGTGATTGAAAAATGCTAGAAACTTATGTTACAGCCCAATGTTAGTTGAAGATGGATGAGTAAATACATAAGATTGGTTTTAGCGAATAAAAATACATAAGACATAGGAAAGGAAAGAAATACGCCAGCACCATTAACCACAATAAACATAATTAATCACATTTAAACTACAACAGCACATGAATAAAGTTGGGTTAAGTAGTAAAAGAGTGAAGGTGCGGAATGTACCTGGCACACTGCTGATTGCTGACTGTCCTCCCCTCCAGAATCAGCTATACGAAACACAAAATACACTTCTATTTCTACTTTCTACTTCTAATATACAAACACAATACATAAAAATAAAAAAAAATAAATTACATGCAAAGTGTACTTATCAATCAATAAATCAAAATAAGTGTGTGATTAAGTAGCTCATTATATGCAAAACAAAAAAAATAAAATACAATCATTCAGTAAACTGGATCTCAGAAAGATCTTAAATGTGAAACATTAAACATACCTTTTTTTTTTCTTTCAAATTTTGCAAAACATGTTTTTTACTATCATAAAATCTTCTGATAGTAAAGTTGAATCTTAAGAAAATTCAATACTTAATATCATGACATTACCAACAGTTATATTGAACTTCACCTTCATTTTCACTTTTGTCTTCCACCAAAACATGAACCAATTCGAATTACGCTTACTGGTCCATAAAATATTTGTGGAATCTATTGATAAATTTTAGCGAGAAATGTATTTTTTAGAAAAATTACATTCATATACAGCCCCTACTTTTAAATACATTAGGTTCCTAACTTTATTCAAGTAGCCACTCATTAACTAAACACTCAGAGAGGAAACCATAAGTGCTCAAGCCATCTAGAAAATACCTTTAACGTAGATGGTATAAAACTTTTGAGAAAAATAAATTAGTCCATGGTAAAATATTATAATTATACACATCTCAAAAAAATTAAAGGGTCAAAACTCTATTTAGTGATTATTTTTTAGCAAGTTGATAGTTTAAATAAAAATTCATTCAGTTACATAATAAAATTTATGTTATGGAAAATCTAGACCCTTCAACTTCATCAAGATGCCTTCATTGAACTCTATTTGCATTCATTATTAATAGAAAAAAAATAAAAATTGATTAATAATCACGATTTGAATGAAGAAAGTGAATTGAATCTTTTTCGGGTTCATTATTGTTGGGCATTGTTAAGAATACCCTCATGTAAATAAATAAACAGTTTAAATCAATAGCAAACACCTTTATTTATTTTGTGAGTCAACATCAATATTGAAATCAGTTTAACACGTTAGCTGCGATTATGGTCCCTGGGTTCCGATATTCGTCTCGACTTCAGCCAGGATTGTTTCAAATTTTGCTTATCTCACAAATTCTCTAAAATGGTCATCTTTTAAAATATTTGAATGGGAGTTGGATAGACGTAAAGATATACAAACATAAACAATCATTATACCTTATAGACGCCAGGGACTATTACCTCAGCTAACATGTTAAAATCAAATTAGAACTTAAATACAATATGACTCTTCAATTTTTTCGAGGAATGTATATGATAAAAGAAAATATAAATAGGTATGATTAAGAATCATGCAATTTTTATTATTTGAAAAAAAACTTGAGCATTACCAAAGTCTACTATAATTGTTTTAGAACAATGTATGGTAAATTAGAACCATTTACATATGAAAAAGTATGAAAACTTTTTGCTTATAATAATAAAATGTAAGTTTTAACAAATGGCATTGAACAGAAAAACTATTAAAATAGAGAAAATGGCATAGATAACTTGTCTAATCCAGTTTGCTCAATGATTAGCAATGACAGGCAGAAAAAAACAAATATGTGTATCATTACTAAAATAAAAGCTAGTTTCTCAAAATAAATACTGAAATATATTAATAGATAAAACGTCTAAAGGGCAAACATAGTTCAAACTAGCAAACTGTTTTTCTTTAACTAGAGCATTCATAAAATTATTATTAAAATATTATAATGCCATAATTACTAGGGTATAAAACCTTAATTTTGAGATCAATGGAAAAACTCGCATTCGTCATTAGCCATAACCAAACAAAGTTAGTGAAGTTGTATAAAATATAATGTATACATGTACAGAGATAAAATTTTAGTATATATTTTTTATTAGTATATATAAGGAATTTTTTATCATATCTAGAGTTTCAAGATGGAAAAAAAATATTTTGTCTTTATCACTTTTAGATGAAAGTGATACTACATAGTAGATTTTTTAAATGGGTAGATTGATTAGAAATTTAAAAGCCCCAAACTTAGTTTAGACATGAAACATATTTTTTAAGGCCAAATTTAATCACTGAGTATAGAATAAATAAGAGCTGGTATAGGGAAAAGAGGAGTGTGTCAAGGTACCATTACTAATTAATAGTTTCACCCAATGGAGTTTCCTAGCTCCTATCGTGTTAATACATTTATTTGCTTTTTATAAAATGAATAAGAGCATAATACATGGTTGTATAATTTGAAAAGATGAATAAGAATTTTTCCCCAATAAGTTATTAGCAATTATTAGATCATTCTTAAAAAATTTTAACTTACATTCACACCCTGAAAAATGTTTTAAAATCAAGTTGCTCATAGAAGGCACAAATATAAATAAATGTAAATTTTAAAAATGATACTAGCAGGATCAATAAAAAATCCTTCAACAGTATAGAATTTAACACATTCATGACCCTTCACTATAATGAGGAACAATTCATGAAGATGTAACCTGGTTATTACACGAAAAATATTACCTAATATAGGTAAAATAATAAACAGTACAGATTTCTATTATAAAATGGTCCGATAGAAACTTAACTTAGAATCAGTATTTGGAGTGCAATGATTCAGTGGGGACCAACATACCGCCCAAGAAATGACATAATGTTAGTTCCATCTAAAAGTTGGTAGTGTGCTCATGATGGCCTATTGAAAAAGAACTAATAGAGCCCCCCAAAAAAACTATAGACAATACCAAAGACATGGAAACTTAAGTTATGACGAAACATATTTGGAGTTCTGAAAAAAAAGTGTTTAAATTTTTCTATATATATGTTTTTTTTTTTTTTTTTTTTGTTTGATGATACAAAGTTTTCTTTAATTTTTGACTTAACGATAATGTTGAGATGATGATAAAAAATTCCCTTTAAATTCTGATCAGCCTTGAATTTAAATTATAAAGGTATCAATTTCCCTTGCACTGGAATATGCAATAGCTTTGTTGTGTTCAAGAATTAGGTACTTTCATGGGGAAAAAATAACATAAATTTGATCTGCAGAATTCAACTGACAAAGAATGTATTATAGATTGAATTTTTATTTTTTAAATAATAAAAAAAAAATCATATTGGCTTGTAAAAACTGAAAACTTGAAATAGTGAGCCTCAGAAGTGTGGTGGAGACTAGGTGAGTGGCCTATGTCCACAGTAGTAAGTAGTAGTAAGATGAATAAGGCTGCTAAACAAGATACTGTCAAAGTATCTCAAAGCTCTAATTTATTAACAAGCATTAATACAAGCTAATATAATACATTTCAAAATAAATATTTTTTTTTATAAATGGCAGCCTGAGAGAAAAAAATGGAAATATATTTCTAGGGGAGGGTGGAGGTTCTGAAGCTGGGAATACTATTCTAAGCTAAAAAGTATAAAAACACTATCCGATGCTATGAAGTAGGCGTTGGCATGTCATGACGTAGTGACATCTGCATATTCATAACATATCTCCGTCCCAATAATTTTTTTTTAACAGAATCATTTGGAATTTTTTGTGTTTTTAATGTAATAACCTAATCTTGAACAACAAATGAAAACATTTTGAACCTTTATCAAAGCAAATATTTTAATGACAATACTTTATTTATATAAAAATTAAAATTAACATAAGTATATGGTTACATAAATGTTTAGTGAATATTATACTGTATTTATTTTTTAAATTTAATAACTCAATGTTCAGTGAGTTTATTAGAGTAATTTTGGAAAACATTAGTAATCAATAAATCAGCGACTCGAACAAGATTATTTCAGTAAGGCAATTACAAAACAATAATCGGTAATTTATTTGTAAGCAATTTAATTGTTTTGTAATTGTTTGATTAAAGAAAATTAATAAACCAAGTGTAAGACGATCTAAATTGTAATAAATAAGTCAAAATGACAAAATATATTTTTATCCCAAAAATGATTTTATATCGTTCTTTATTATAATATAAATTTTAAAGAAGAAATAAGTAAACTCAGTTTAATGGATTAAAATATAAAGAAATATCAGAAATATAACAAAAAAATAAAAGAAAAAAAAATGAAATATTCTTACCTAAACAGTTGCTGCATGCAAACATGTATATTATATTAGTATTTACACAGATCATGCAAAAATTTATTATCGCAAATAAATAGAAAAATAAAATAAATGCATGAAAAAATTAACTCTAATATTATTAAAAGAAATAAATAAACTCTGAGGAATAAAATACATTATATGATACACAGCATTTCGTAAAAAAAAAAAAAAAAAAAAAAGGATAATATAAGTAACTGCTTAAAAAAGGATCATATTATAAATTAAAGGATAATGAATTAATAAAAACTATCAGAAAATCGTCAATTTAAGTTAGGCATGCCAAAACTAACAGAAAATATTTATATTAGCAAAGAGGTATAGAAGATAACTTACTTTCCGTTGGTGGAGACGTTACATGTAGCAATTCATTAGTTGAAATCACCGTCGTCTTAGTCAAAGTAGACTCAATTTTATGGCTTTCATTCCGTGTAACCTCAACCACTGTCCTACTTTCTTCTGTACTGCTTACGTTACTGATATTAAAAAAAAAAAATACTTGAGTGCTTTAATCAATTAAAATTAAACTAATAATTGTGAAATTTGAACAACTTTATATTATGTAAGAACTCAACACCCTCAGTGCTCAAACCACGCCCTGAAGATGACCCACATGTTTGGATTGAAACGTTGGCATAAATAAAAAAAATTAAAAAAGACTGCGTCCTGAATATTTATCACCCATGTTTTATATATATTTATAATAATTGTTATTCATATTGTAAATATAATTTTCAACTTGAATGGGCAAAATTGCCCGAAACGTCGTCGAACTGTAGAAATGAAGCTAATGATTTTATAAAATAATAAGGGTTAAAAAATTTTTTTCCTCAATACTATCAACTTTATAAGTAATATTATCTACCTTAGAAACATTTGAAGATTTTATTATTAAATTTATATATATGTAGATAACAGCTTACAAGCCATGATTGAATATGTAAACTATTAACAATGTTTTATAAAAAGGACACTAAATAATTAAAAATATTTATATCATTATATAATATAATCAGCAGAAAAAATTAAGTGAAACTTACTTTGTAAGGTGGTCTTTAACTGAATCAATTGTGATATCAACACTCGACAGTGTTAAATCGTGGGTAGAAGCTTCAGAGACTCCATTTTCTTTTATCTCTGCCTTATCGGCATCTCCAGCTTCTGGCCTTCCTTCTCTCCTCTCTGCTATAAAGGGAAGAGAAACGTTTTATTCATGAGGAATGCACGATTTAATGAGAATATAAATAAAAACATTTAATTTTCAAATAATCTATATTTAATCATATAAATTTTATTATACCATTAATCACATTTGTTGTTATTAAATATATTCTTTATTCATAAATGCCCATCTTTTAACTATTATCGGCAATATGAAATAATGGTATGAAGTACTAACTAAAAAAGTTAGGCTTGAGAATGAACAATATTTTTGGCATAGAGTATATATTATAAAACCAATAAACTCTAGATAATTCAAGTTGATGGGACTTTGAAAAGTTAGCACAAAAAAAAAAAAAAAAAAAAAGCTAATAGATCTCAAAACTAGTATTTATTACGTAATCTTCCAAACTTATGTAATATAATTATAACTGGAAATTTTGTATTGGTAGATGAATCATCAATATGAGGAATTTAGAAATTTTCAGATTTATTGAACTTCATTGCCAGGTGCAGTTTTCAAATTTAGACAAATTTGAGATATTTATCATTAAAATATGGGAGAAATTTCATTGTGATAGGCAAATAGTTATTGAAACCCTAAGTTTAATATAACAATTAAGAAAGTAAGAAAAACACCCTTCTTTTTACAGTGCTATATATTAATGTTTTAGAGCTTCGGTACTCTGCAAGCTCCAAAACATAAATATATGAAACTGTAAAAAAAAAAGGAGTGTTTTCTTACTTTCAAAATTATTACACAGTGTACCTATTAAATATAACAATTAACTTCAACTATTAGAGTATCAAAAGATCAACCCCTGGGCGGATTAAGTGTTTTGTTAAATAAAGTTTATTCCGTTTTATAATATTAAAGTACTCCGATATTTTCTTTTCTTAAAAGAAAAGTTAATTAATAGAGGTTGGTTCTTGGAATGGGAAGGCGCTACTAAAAATATACTTCAAAAAACAACAACCTGGCTGCTGACTATTGGCTGAGGACGAGGATGAAGATGAAGAGCTGCTAGCTTGTGAGGACTCGGAACTCTGGCTGGTGTTATCACTTTGCGGAGGAGGCCTGGCTCCAGGAGGTAGCTCCACTCTACACCTAGCGATAGTAACGCAGTTAGTTGATAAACTCACCCTTTGCAACTCGCTACTCGAGTGCAGGTACAAAGCTTCTCCCCTTTCTGTAAAGCTGAGTGAAGAGATTCCATTAATATCTTCTCGTCGTATAACAGCTGCATTAACCTGGCAAATTACAAAAGGTGTCATATTCAATAAACAAGCAGTATTATATCATACTTAACTTTCAAAAAGGAATTTATAATTATTTAAAAACATTACATTATAACCTAGGAGTACGTGTAGTAAAGTACTTATTGAAAATCTTTCATATAAGCAGTAGTACACAAAATATGAACAGCATTATAAAAATCAAAAATTTAAAAACTTGAACTAACTTGGCGGCGAAGATCAGGAAGAGCAAGGACCACAACATCTCCCAGATTGGTAAGGCATAAAAGGCAGGTTTCAACATGAGACCCTGCAGAAAATGAAGCCAAAATCGTTCTTCGCACTCGTGCACCTTCACAAGCGGTTAGTTTCAATTTTGTAACAGGTTTCAACTGTGGAACCGTAAAAACCTGAAAAAATAGCCATATTACAGGATAGTTTACATAAATAAATAAAAAATTTTTATTAGTACAGTAACTATTAAACACTAAAAAATGATAAAAATCAATCTGTGAAGGAGACACAAAGTTTATAACAAGCAAATACTTAAAGAGTAAAAATGTTGTGGTTTGGCTTTTTAATCTAAAACCAGGTTTCCATTTTCATCAGACTAGTAAAGTCTTAATTATGCCTAATTCTTAATAAGCCTAAAAATTTTCAAAATATAATCACAATTTGCTGTGAAAATATGAATGAATATTTTAATTGCAATTAATCTGATTTGTGTGTGTGTGTAAATAGTTCATTTTAATAAAAAGAAAATTTGAGTAAGAATGAATATCAATATATCTTTTTACTACCTAATGAATAATTTGGTCCTGATTGATTTTTGAAAACAGAAAATTTGTATTTTCACCTACTTATGTATACAATATATACTAATAAGAAAGTATTTTGATAATGGAAAAATCTGAATATTTAATAAAAATACATTGAGGTCTCCTGAGTTCAAAAATCCAAAATTTAAGGTACAGATACGGCTTCGGACATCCAGTACATTTTTCCCCCAAAATCAACTAACTGGAAAAAGTATTTTATGTTACTGATTATTTAATTTTTTTTTTTTTCCCTATGCCTAAGTAACGCTTGCTTGATCAGCCATGCGTACTCTGCGTACAGTCCAATATAATTTACTGATTATCATAAGGATGACATTCACAAATATGTACTTATAAGTATAGCTCCATCAATACTGTACTTAAATAATAAATTAAAGGAAAAAAATTAAAAATGTTTTCTTAGATTAACTAATATCTAGAAGTAAAAATAGAATAGATTAACAGCTTAAGAAATATTTAAAGAACAATCATCTTATGAATTAGTGCACTTGATTGAAAGAATGTATAACAAATAAAAATGTTTAAAATTAATACCAGATAATTAATTTGGCCAAGTTTAATCTTTGTCTACCAGCCTAAGCTCTATCCACAGGAATCTCACTTAAGTTGTTTTCCTATATCATAGATATGTAATCTACTATTGGAAAGCAAGAAATAATAAATCATTATTTGATTTCAATTCCTATTAGCTTTTCTAACACCAGTAAAAAAAATGTTTATTGATTATTTTTATGTTATAAAAATGAATGAATGAATGAATGAATATTTTATTTGTTTTTGGAGAATGCCCCATACAAATAGAGTTGGCTATAATGATAACAATGAATGCATTAATATGTAAAACATTAACAACTTATATATAAAGTAAAATTATTGGGATCCAGTTACAACATCCTCTCCTGACAACAATCAAGCATCTGATTGTATGGCTAAATATAAACAATGGAATATAATATAATACCCCATATAATACGACAATTAAAATAATACAACAGCAGAACATAGCAAGCAATACAATGATGAATAGTAATAAATAGCACTAGTAACAAAAATAAATATAGGCATAGTATACTCTATCAATATACTCAATATATAAACATGTCAATAGTATATAACAAATGATACAATAAAACATGATAAGCACATAAATATGTGTTTCATGCATGAAGAATAAATACAACAAGCAGAACAAAGTTTTGTAATGTCATTATTTATTGAAAATGAAGGACCTCAATCTGCAACATACACGCCTCAACCAACAAGAAATTTTCAACATCATTCACCATTTACCTTCCTGCAAAGCTCCAGGACACGGATCTATTACTCATCCGTCATGTCTTAAAGCTCCTTTAAACCATGTCTTAAAGCTCCATCCTCGAAAAGTTATCCAATTCCTCACCTACATATACAATGCCGTACTCAGATCCACATATTTTCCTGATCCATGGAAACTATCTATTGTTGAAATAATTCAAAAACACTAGAATAACCATCCCTTTACCATCCTGTCGCTCTTTTATCTATCATGGGCAAAATCCTCGAAAAACTCATCTTAAACAGTATGTACCCCAACCTTCAGTCGAACCAAGTAATCTCAGATCACCAATTTGGATTCAGTGCATCCCAATCCCGCTATCCAGCAACATTATTGTGTGGTAGACATAATCTCCTCAGCATTGGAGCGTGGAATGTACTACACGGGTGTCTTTTAGTACGTTGAGCAGGCTTATCTACCTTACTGATAAATACTTCAAAGTAAATCACAACAATGCCTATACATCCTTCTTTGTCCCAATCTGCTGGTGTACCCTAGGTCTTATCCTTTACACAGCTTATACAGCTGACATCCCATTCTAACACTGTCATCACCACCTATGTCGATGACATGTGTGTCTTATCAGTTAATAACAACCAATAAATTGCATCCCAAAAGTCTTTAATCACACATCACAAACATTGAAGAATGGTGTCGAAATTGGAGAATTACCTTTATCCTTTGTCGTAAACCTATGACTTTCTGTCCTACAGTATCTTTAAACAATAACCCACTTATATCTGTTGAATTCTTGAAGGAAGTTAGTCGACTGTTCTACATATCATGGGTGATAAATATTCAGGAGGCAGTCTTTTTTAATTTTTTTTATTTTTGCCAACGTTTCAACCCAAACATGTGGGTCATCTTCAGGGCGTGCTTTGAGCACTGAGGTTGTTCAAGTACTCAATCTGTTGAACAAATCCGATATCTGTTGAAATATATCTGTTGAACAAATCCGATAACTAGGATTCCACCTGGACGAATATCTAGCTTTCTTAGCAGTTACTAGAAAAATTCTATAAGCTAACAATTAATTTCAAAATACTCCGATACATGACTATAATAAGACCTATTTGGACATATGGAATTGAGCTTTGGGGCTCCACTAAACCATCAAATTCCTCTCGTATCCAATCCTTACAATCCAAAATCCTTTATACAATCCTCAATGCTCCTTACTTTGTTACAAATAAAATAATGACCTTAATGTTCCATATGTTTCCGATTTGGCCCAATCCAGACACCTATCCTTCCATAATAAACTTCAGAATCCTCCTCCCTTTCCTAACTTTGCTTCCTCTTCGATCCCTGATAACCTCATGAGGAATTGAAAAAAAGATGGCTTCATAATTTCCTAATTTAGATATAGTTGTAAATTTCATTAATAATAAAAAATATATATCTTTGCACACAAATAATTCAGTATAACTAAGACACTCCACAATGTTAGCACTTAAAATTAAATATTTTATATAAGTATTATAAACTAACGATATTATAAAAAGAAATAAATACCTTTATCTGTTCTTCACTAGAAATAAGTACTTTGTGAGGTGCAGGGTGGTTATCTTGCCTATTTGTATCCACACTATTGCAGTTACCATCCATAATGGAAATGTTGATCACTGGAGCCCTGTGCTTCAGCTGTATTTCCTTACCTTGGAATGTCAAGTAACATTTTGAGTTATAATGACCAAGCAGTTAAAAATCATAATAAATAAAATATTAAATAATTTGATGATATATTATTATTAATAATAAAATATCATGATTAATATGAAAACAGTATAATTTTCAGGAAAAAATCAAATATTCATTTTTTAAGTTTTAATAGATAAAATAACAAAAATGAACACATTAAAAAAAAAGGTAACTTTTTAAGTTTAATACTATTCGAAGATTAGCAAAACAAAATTAAAAGAAAGTACCCAAAAATATATTTCATTAACATTATGAATACTGTTCACAAGGTTAATAATTAAATTTTAACTGATTAGAAAATTAACTTTTGATTAGAAAATTAACTTTATCAAAGTTTAGTATGTGTAGGGCGATGACCTCACCAGCCTGTTGTTCATCCAAGTCTTGGAGGAGATGGTACATGATTTGGGTGTACAGACCTCTGACACCATCTTTAACCTGCTCATTCAAATACTCAGGCTAATGACTTGGATATTGTTGCTGGGTCCTTTGGGTCCTTGAAAGAAGTTTTTCTTAAGTTGACACAGGCTGCAGAAGATATGAGGATGTGTGTAAACCAGGAGAAGACAAAGTCATGAGAGCAGAGCCTGGCGCTGACAGTAGATCGAGAGCCCTTGGTGATGGGCTATTTCACATTCTAGAATGTTAACCTTTTTGTGTACCCGAGGTCTGTGGAAACCAGCAGACGCATAAAAGCCAACAGGTGCTATTTTGGTCTCAGAAAGCACCTGAGAAGTTCCTATCTCTCTCGCAGTACTAAGTGTCTATTGTACAAGACTCTTGTTAGGCCTGTCCTAACTTATAGATCAGAGACCTTGGACCCTCACTATTGATGAGGAGAGACATTTTTATAATCAAAAGAAAGATCCTTCAACAAATATTTGGGCCTGGAAGGTTCACAGATGACTGGAGGTGGAAGACTAATAGGAAAATTTATCAAATTTATGACGAGGTTGCTGTAATGAGGTTTATTAGGTTAAGAAAACTGTGGTGGGCGGAAAAGACTGCTCACATGTAGAATAAAGAAGACATGTCCAGGAAACAACTGGATGAGAGGCTCTACTGGGGAGGAGGAGGGGAGGGGAGGGGAGAGGAAGAGGAAGACCTCAGCTGAGATTGGAGGACACCGTTGCCAGGGATGACTGCAACCTACTCAACATCTGCAACTGACGAGCGGCAGCACAATATAGACCTACCTGACGAAGACTTGTTGAGTAGGCCAAGGACCACATCGGCCAAGGAGAATGAGAGTATGTGTATCACCATGTGGAATGAGATATTATAATTAAGTTAATAAGACAATCTATAAGAAGAAAATAAATCATCATCACAATAATGAAATAAATACCTAATTGGCAGGCAACAGATTCTTCTTTCCTCTTCTCTCCTCCAGGAATGGCCAGTGTAAAAACATAGACGGTGCCATTGTTCGTTCCAACCCACAGAGTTGGAGTTAGATTTTGAACTGAAATATGAGACATACAAATATAATTTTAGATATATAATTCCCAAAACTATTCAGTTGTACAAATAATATTAGTAAATAAATTATTCCATATGTTTGTATAACAATTAGAGGTACAAAACAAATAAATTTCTGGATGATAAAGGCCTATCTAAAAATTTCAAATCCTCTTACAAGTAATTGATGATTTTAGTGAGAAGGGTAACCATTAAGACATACTCTATTCATCATAGTTTAAATTCGGATTGCTGCTGAGAAGAAAGGTTTGTTAATATAACGTCATGTTAAAGACCCTAATATAATCAATGAACTTACCAATGATTTGATGAATTATTGGAGAAAGTTAGTCGACTGTTCTACATATCATGGGTGATAAATATTCAGGACGTCGTCATCTTTAAGTTTTTATTAGTGCTGACGTTTCAACCCAAATATGTGGTTCATCATCAGGGCGTGACTCGAGTACTGAAGGTATTCAAGTACTCTAATACCAGTACTTGAATACCTTAAGTGCTCGAAACATGCCCTGATGATGACCCACATGTTTGGGTTGAAACGTCGGCACTAATAAAAACTTTATAATGACTGCGTCTTGAATATTTATCACCTAATAAACTTACCAAGATGAATAGTGCTGTCATTTAGTATTCATGCTGGTAAATGTCTTCTTTTTTTAAAAATATTTTTTGAGGATATAATTATTTAAAATAGGTGAAACCTAATGTAAAGCAAGTTAAGTTTTTCTGCATAGGCTAATATTCTCAATATTAAACGTTATTATGTATCCCTTCAGTAATGACAAAAACAAATGAAATATACATTTAAAAGAAGTACAGAGGAATTTTAAACTGTAAAAGTGAGACAATGATAGTACAAATATTTATAAAATGAAAATAAAAGAAAATACATTTAAAAAAAAAATAAATAAACAGATAAAAATTACAACACAGATTCACACAAAAAATATTGTATTAAAGGATGTAAGATCATTGAAAAAATACTAACTGCTGATGATGTAAGTCCTGGCAAAAGTAATACAGCGAACCATTGATCCCATCCCATCATCAGCTGGCCTTGCTTCAATCGCCCTCTCAACTGGTTTTACTTCAGTTCCTTCTGGAGATCTGAAATTGTTTAAATTATAAATTAAACTGTACAATCATAAATATCTCAGTAACAATCACTACAAATCAGAACAACTATAAGAGAAAATACTAATGACATATAGAGCATCAACAAATACAAAATTGTACAAACAAATGTTTTATTCTTTGTAGAGGATAAACAAACCAATTCTACCAGGAATATTTAGATATTTCTGAATAAAAAAATAGAGAAATTTATTGGAAATTAGAAATTTGACATTTAGATATTAAAGTTATATTCTTAGGACCGTTCATTTTATTATTTTTATTCACTACTAACAAATTTAGTAAGGGAGCTCAGTGGTAGGGCACTGAGCTTCCAATGCAAAGGTCCCGAGTTCGAAACCCGGCTCATGGCAGAAAATTTAATTATTTGTTTCGTTGGACGTGGGGCGACCTTGGGTCAGGAGTCCCTCCTGGGGCACACCCAGCCTCTATAAAGTGGCTACCCTTAGTTATATAATTAATTAGGGGGGAAAAGCTGGCGGTTGAGCGTGATCTCGGTCAAATCCCCTCCTTGCACAACCGTGGACCTAGAAACAGTGCTTTCCCTAAATAGTACTGAACCCCAGACTCTTTATGGGTTGTAGTGGTACAGGTTACTAACAAATTTATAATGAGAATTGAAATTGAAAACGTTATGGGTAATGCAAAATTGGCTACAATTCAAAATATTTAAAGTAATAGATTGAATGACTATAACATTAATTGCAACATATTAATACCTAATTCACGTTGGTCCAAGCCAATGAGATATGACATTATCAAATGATAGAAAGCATTTACAAACCACAAATTAAAAATCTTTTCACATAAGTAAACATTCCTGGGAAAAAGTATGAAAAACAATAGAATCTTAATAGGACCAACGGCTGACAATGATTTTTTTTGGACTCAGACGGCTCTCAAATGTAATATGTTGAAAACCACAAATTAACAATTTTATAAAAGTACTGATCTAATTTTACTAAAACAAAACAAAATCTTTAGCATAAAATTATTGTATGACCAATCGAGGAACAGCTGGTAGAAAAATATTTAAAAAAAAAATTTTCATCATGATTTGGATCAAGAAACTTAATTATGTAAATGTGTCTAATAAGGTAATCTCTTCTGTTGGTTGAAAATCAAAATACTACAATGCCTTGTTAAAGACTTCGATCAAGAAATGTAACCATGTAAATTAGCCTTAAAAATAAAGTAAAAAAAAAAAAATTAAATAAATTTAAGATTGGTGATAATTGACAAAATTAACATTAGAGAACTGAAACTGAACAACTGAAAAGTGAGCCAATGGAAAAAAGTAAGTATAATTTGTAATTATTTTCACTAATGACTATTTTAAGTTTTAAAACGTTAGCTGCAGTTACGGTCCCCGGGATTCGATATTCGTCTCGACTACCAAACAGCAAGGATTGTTTCAAATTTTGTCTATCTTACTAAAACTCTAAAAAGGTAATTTTTAAAAATATTAGAATGGGAGTAGGATAGATGTAAAGATACGAGCGTAAATAATCACTATATCTGATAAAAAGTTTTCAGATACCATGGACCAATACCATACCAGATAAAAAATGATTTCCCTACGGTATCATGCCCCGGCGTCCAATACATATTCCTGCCGTGACTGGACAGTGCACATGCATGGTCTTGTGATCTTAGGGCTTCAGTCGCTTAGTAGCTCTTGAGAGTTCATCTTGGACTGTTCCCCTTGTTTATTTAACATAATGATAAATAACATACATATAAATAATGTATAAATTATATCTTGAAAATTACAATTAACAACCTAGTTCTGCCATAAATACTGTTACAAAAGTTGAACTTTGTTTACATCCTTGAGTATTATTTAGATAATCCTTACCCCTATCAGGTTATGTTCATTACATGTCAGGATAATAATCCCAATTAGTTTCTATTTTTCTTTCGCTCAGTTAACATGGAGTGGGATGATAAAAAAAAACCGAATAGCTATGATGGTCTTACACGAAGTTGGACAATGTAGGTCAGAGATTTTCAACACTTTGAAACCTTAGGGTATCAGCGTCTTAGGGTATGTTCATGTACCGCACTATAAATAGATAAAATGATACCCTATCTGCATGTGACAAACCTGAGCCGGGGAGCCGTCACCACACTGTGAGAACGGCAAATGCAGTGAGAGTAGTGGCTGCTCAAATCAGAAGAAATCCCATTCGAGAACAACAAATCATGTCTCGGAAAATGGGAATCTCTATCAAATCAATGTCTCACATTATAAAAAATGACCTCAGGATGGATACATTTCGAAGAATGACAGGAAAAAGGTTAACCACTTCCCTAAAAAAAATTACAGTGGATAGATGCAAAGTGCTACTTGGCCATTACACCAATGATCTTCAAATTTCTACGATTGAAGAAAAATTTAATTGCCAAAATGATCGTGTGTACGCACACACAGCTCTAAAGAAGCCCAGAAAGTCATTGGAAGAGTGGAAAGAGGTCATCATCCCTCCTCAGTGCTGATTTGGTGAGGAGTTTGCTTTGATGCCACCACGAAGCTCCATTTTTGTGAAAAAGGAGTTAAAACAGCCACTAAAAACTATCAGGACGATATTTTGGAACCTGTTGTCAATCTCTAAATGATACCCTGTTTGCTGGAAGTCATTGGGTTTTCCAGCAGGATTCCGCTCCAGCTCACAAGGCCATGTCAAAAGAACATTCCAGAATTCATCTCTGCCTCCTATGGGCCCTCAGGAAGCCCTGATCTCAATCCACTAGATTATCGGCTTTAGCCCGAACTGGAGAGGATGGTATGCCACAGAGCGTACTCTAACTTGGAAAGCCTCAAGCAATCTCTGGTCCAGTTGAGTGCTTTCCTCAAGAAGTGCTGCATGCTGCTATTGATGACTGGCCATGGGGAGATCAAATGGCTGTGTCAAGACAAAAGGTGAGACATTTTGAGTAATTTCATTTTTGTTTTAGTCTCAATAGATATACATTTTATTTTCTAATGAAGTTTTTGAAAAAAATATTTTTTTCTGTTGAAATCTGTATACATTTTGATGCAACAATATTTATGACAGGACTAGGTATATGTAATAAATAAACTTTTTCTCATTTCATTTTCAATATTTAAGATTTATATCCCTAAAAATAACACTTGTTTACTAAAATAAAGAGAAATAATGCTGGCCATTAATGAGGACACAATTAACAGATAGAGACTCTGAATAGGGAATTTAGTTCAAAAAATAGCTGTATACTTCGAAACTGATGCATGTCTCTGGCGTCCGATGCCGTTAGAAACTTCATAACTAGTGTTGGTCGCCAGGGACCGATATCGTCAGGCAAGATATGTAAGAGATTTGCTCAGCAGCTAACATGTTAAAACATCCATAATTCATCTATTTGTATCGGATTAAGCTTCCATAGATCATTAGATTTAGCTCTGAATAATTTTAACTTATCATCGTTTTAAAGTTTTTCTATAAAAACTACAAATGTAAAAATAATAGAATTACTGAGGCGGTGGTGAGGCAGTGGCTGCGGTTGTTGTCGCCCCTCTCTTGTCTCCCCTCTGGGATCTTCCCTTCCTTAACCTCCTGAAAGACTCCCTAAGTGACTTTTTAAAAGACTTTCGTCGAGATATTGGTCCTTCTCCAGATCCAGACATATCTAGAATACATAAATTTGTAATAGGATTAAATAAAACTTAAATGAACATGCTTAGTCCATACAAATCAACTAATTTCGAAGTTATGGAGAAATCATTATGCAAAAGGTCTCTTGAGTCATTCAATGATTCAGCGACCATATTAGTTGGTAAAAAAAAAAAAATTTTTAAAAGATGCAATCACTGCACCTTACATTACTTTTAGGCAGGCCTGGATGACTGAGAACTACCCAATAATACAAATTGTCCTGAAGCCATAATAAACAAACAATACAAGTAAACAACTGTAAAGCTAATAATATAGAGATGGTTGATCGTTGATATAATATGAGAAGGAGTTGATCAGGGGGTGAGGTCAAATTAATACTAAATTAAACAAGTAGAATTATTTAATTTTTGCCGACATTTAGACCCGCTTTGCAGGTCTTCATCAGGGCGTAGGATGTAGCACTGTGGGAGGCAGTTGACACTGGCAGTGCACAGCAATATTTATTAAGATAACGTAAATATTTACCACATTTGTCAACAAATTTCAAAGTTTTACAAATTGATAAACAGAAAACATAATAGTCTGCAATACTAACTGATTTTTATCAAATAATTAACACTCGTCTATGACTTTGTGAATGGCTTAATTTCATCAGTACATACAACTTTTTAATTTACAAGAATTCATGGAAGTGGGGAATTTTCAATCTGGAGATTGGTAAACTTTGTTAATATAATGATGTACTAAAAACTTATGAAGAATTCATTTGATTTCCATTTGAATCATACGATAATTTAGTCACAAAATAAAGAAAAAAGGTGACCTACAAAAATATTGCATTTGGCCAATGCAACCTTATTATTTTGACATGTTGGGGTAGAGGTCATGCCAAACAGCCCAATATTTTTATTTTGTCATCAAATTAATATAGAATTTAGGTTGAAAGTATATGGGTGTTAATGGGTTTTTTGTACCTTATTAAACAGACAAAGTTTACCAATTTGATAAGATGAAGCTATTCACAAAGTTTTAGATGGAATAGGAAGACATCAATGTTGATTGAGGAAACCATAACCATAACCTGACAACAGGTTGTAGAGCTATGCTAAGTAAATTAATAATGTTTTAATGTTAGATTGAATCTGATTAGTTTAATCTTACCAAGTGGGCTGAGTGTTGATTTCACAGTGACAGGTGCCATCTTCTGAAAGTCGTACAGGGCCACCCCATGAGCGGTCCCAGCAGCAACAAGACCCCACGGAGAGTGCAGAGCGAGGGCAGTAACTGCCGCAGGAGGGTGCAACTGGAGCAGCGAAGTGCACGCAAAACCAGGGCTGCTGGTTGTAGAATCATTGAAGGACAGTGCCTGATAGCCTTTCCAAACAAATCCCTCTCGAGAGCTCAAGATGTTCATAGTAACTACCTAAGAAAAGAACATTGCTGATGAAAATGGCTGCTTGAAATATTCAAAGCATATCTACAGAAGATGCAGTTATTTATCACAGTAATTACTTAGGCACCAAAGCAGGAAAGCAGGAAAGTTTAAAAAAGTAAACACAAATATTAACATCTAAAAATTGAGAAACGGCCTAAAGTGTATAAAAACAATAGTACATATGGAATACCAATGGATAATAGTGACAATGAGGGACCACTAATATTGAAGAAATTCAAAGTATTGCTACATACATGCTGAGGACAATTTCTATAAAGGAAATTTAAAAAAAATACATATATAGACATGCTTAGTTAGCATTTGATTGTAAAAAAATAAAAGATAAATTACAATAATGAGGTTTGATAAAATTCCAATTTTTAAAATAAATACTCAAGTATTTTTTAAGAAGAAAATACTAAAATAGTGCATTAAAACAATGTTTTAAGTAATAATCTAAAGTTGAAAAAATAAATAAACTAAAAAAAATATATATATGTGAATTGTACATACAAGAAAAACCATCTACAAATACTTTAAAAATAGACAACAGCTACTAGAAACCTTAGAAGTCATTCGGATTATAAAATATTATAACATTAACATATATAAATTCATAATTAGCATAACTAAGACTATTTTGTGTGTACTGCTTATTTATAGTGTGTGTATATGTATATATATATACATATATATATATATATATATATATATATATATATATATATATATATATATAAATATAAACTAAAATAATCAACTTTAAGGGAAACTATGTCACTGTTCAGTTCAAACTCAATAACCAGAAATTCCACAAGTGAGATTTGCCATAAATTTAAAATTATTTTTTTCTAAAATTACGTTAATTACACTTAGGCCTAATATTTTGTAGTAATCACATTGTAAAAACCACAATTTTTTTCACATTTTCTTTATAAATAAATCTATAAATAACATTGTGGTCTCTACAATTTTGCCTAAACTCACTTTGTTTTCACAATATATTAATAAAACACACCATATTAAAGTTCAATTATTTTGAGAATGTTCAGGATTCTTATAATCATATTTATTTAACAAAAATTAATTAAAGTTTTTAAAATCATAACAATTCTGTGTGTTGTGAAAAAAGTTTTATAAAATAGGCAATTAATACCTGTAACCTTATCGATAAACCAAAAACCATAACTGAGTACATTGAACAACCCACAAATGATAAACAATAAACAACATCATAGAAACACAATAAATGTATCTGCTCACAATATCTTTTTTCTATAATAATTTTCTCACAATATCTAAACAATTTTCAAGAAATAGAACGCAGAACGAGCGACTGCAAAATTGCTAGATGCTTGATGATGTAAAATAAAAATAAAAGCAATCAGGTTAGAGACCTGTAGGAAAAGATTGACTACAAATATTTTGAAATGAACTATGAACCATAACAACTCTGATGATTTGATCATTTCTTATTTATAACCAAATAATATAGAAAGAAATGATCATCATTAGTTCTTAGTTGTAATTCATTAATTGAAGGAAGCAAGGATTTTGTCAGGAAACTAGGCAAAACTGAGCATGATAGAATGTTCGATACATAAAAAATTTAGCTCCACTTTAATTATACAAGGTGAAAGATGAAAAGTTAAAGACAATGATATTCTAAGACAAAGAAAAAAGATTTAACTATTCACAGAAACAAATAAGCACAACTGATCGACACAAATATCAAAACAAGTCACTAATCATCAATATATACACATGTTACCTGTATGGCCACAACCCTTGAAAGATCTTGTGTACGATACACTGTTATTTGGCAGAAGAAAGGTGATGTAGTCAGCACCCACACTCAACAATTAGGTTTTACCATTACCGAATGAAGGACCAGGTCTCCATTTTACACAGGCATCATCAGAATGAGCTCTCCAAAATAATAGAAAATGACCGAAGGAATGGAGAGAGAGGTAGGAGTCCAATGCCTTACCCATAACCCACGAGTAACAACATTGTTTCCTTCTGTCAAGTGTCACTTATACAAACCCACTTCCTGTTATTTTATGCATCTCATTGTGGGAACTTCTGCACTAAACAATTAACTAAACATGTAATTTTATATAATAATAAAGACTTTTCTGTAGCATTACGGAATTATAGAATGGAATGTAGGAAGACACTGGCAGCATATACAATATTTAATGTTACAGATTCATACAAATTTTTATATTAAGAAATCCGGTAATAAATAATTTGCACTAATTAATAATATTATTAAAAATAGTCTAAAAAAAAATAAAATAAAAGCAATAAGGATGCTGCAGAATTTCATAATATTGAACTATACAATCTTACCTCTTTAACAAACTTGCAGCATGAAAAAGTTTTAAACTTTGCAAACTATGTATAAAGAGTTAAATACAGCAAATCATGAATCTAGCATATAATAAATAATGTATACATATATTGGTTGCAATAAAAAATTTAATTAACAATTAGAATAACTAACTAAAAACTTAAATGTCCTGCCTCTAAAATTCTAAAAAAGAAAACACAGGTGAATATCTTGTTTTTTGTCCACCTCTACCTCGCCTTTTAGGCTATACAGTGATTTTCCCAGGCCAGAGGGAATTAAAAGCTTCTTCGACACCGGGACGTGAACTCATAACTATTTTATATCTAATAATCTTCAGTTTATCAATCATCTGGTTGGCGGGCAGAGCGTGCTTTGCACAGGCATTAGACCGCTCGGCCATCCCGATATCTTGGCTGCTTTATAGTTGACCAGGATTATTCATTGGTCTTATCCAAAATTGAAATTACCAACATTTTGCAAGGTAGGTAGTGACCACTCCCACTCTTTCACCTTTTCAACTCTTGGATCTATAATTCAACTTTTATACATATTAAAAAATTCATTCCTCAAAATACTTGAATACAAGTGCATTTTACAAGTTCTTTTATGGAACATAAATTTTGTATGACCTACAGCTCTTATCTTCATAAAGATTAAATGTTTTCATAAATTTATATTTCTTCATATGTTCATAATTTAAGTAGAAAAAATTCAAAAGAAATACATATTTTATGTTTCTGGAGGTTACAGTAACTTACTATAGCTGATTTAGCTCCGATAGATGACCTGTATGATTCGACCGACATGTTGGTAAGCTAAAACTGTTTGATTTGTTCAGCTATTTTAACATCTTGACATATCTCCAAATAAGAAGTAAACCTGATTAAGATTATATGATTCTTTTCAAAAGAAACAACTCATGACGTAAGGAAATGTGATTATATTTTTAATAGTTAGCTACATTTTTAATACCACAAATCAATGCTTCATAAAAATTATAGAAAAAATCACTGTAAAAATAACTTACTAAGGGCTTGAAAATTAAAATTAAAAATAATTAAAAAATGAATAAAAAAAACTAATAGAAAAGAAAAAAATGGCAATTGGTAATAGAAAAGTAAGACAATCTTCTTATGGTTTAATTTTTTACCTGGGGCTTAGGAACGTTTCCATCCTTCGAAAGTTTTGCTAGAATTACATGTCCAGCAGTTCCCGCAACAGCTAAAACACCAGTTTCAGGGCACAGAGCTACTTTTTTCACAGCCAGGCGAGGATCATCTGAATATGGGTCAAAGCTGCCAACCTAAAGCAAACAACAAAAAATCAGTAATAAAAATCTTGAAATAGTAGCATATCTGACCAGCCAGTTTGTGTAAGATTGGGGGACAAATGGAAATCAATAAAAATAAAAAGATTATTTTATTACTTACAGATTCACAATTTTCCATCAATTTTTTTTTTTTTTTTTTGGATGGGCTTCAGCCTGAAAGCCATCTTCCCCCAACGTGGATCTGCCAGGGTCGCCATTGAATCGACCTATGTTTGAGACGGTGTTATCAGCATGCATACCATTTTTTTAATAATTCAGAAATTGAAAAATCAGGACACTTCAAACAATATGTGAATGCATTCCTAAAATACAATGAATGCAAATCTTTCACTTTATACCTAAGGCAAAAAGTTTTACTTTAATATACATTTCACCAACATCCAACCTTTCATTTCAAAATGGCCAAAAAACGTGTGTCTTCGAGGTATGGGCACCATTTTGAAATGAAAGGTTGGATGTTGGTGAAATGTATATTAAAATAAAACTTTTTGCCTTAGGTATAAAGTGAAAGATATGCATTCATTGTATTTTAGGAATGCATTCAAATATTGTTTGAAGTGTCCTGATTTTTCTATTTCTGAATTATTAAAAAAATGGTGTGCATGCTGATAACACCATGTTTTAATGTGAACTAGGTGCACTACCAGATCAACAATAGCATATCAGGACACCATGAAGTAGGGAGAGATGTTAAGATGCACATATATAAGCTATATTTCTACCAATCCTTACATATGGGTGATGATCTGGACAAGCATGTCAGCCGGATCTCTGGCACTGAGATGAAGTTCCTGCGTAAAGCAGTGGAAAAGACAAGCAGAGACTGCATCAGAAACAATCAAATTAGAAAGCAATAAGAGGTGCCTCCATTGAAAAAATCATGGAAAACAGACAGTTAAAATGGTTTGGACATGTTTATTGAATGAATGAAGTAACAGCATCCAGAAGGAAACTTGAAGCTAGATGAACACGTAGACGAAAAACCGCCCAGCCTAGAATTTCCAATCAGAAACACATCCAGAGGATTGGGGCTAACAGCAAGACCCATACAGAAATGATGCAGCTGAGCAAAACAGGAAGTGCTGGATACAGACCCCTCTACGTCAATAGGCTCGAAGAGGAAGAGAAAGAAGAACTTATATTCAAGCAGCAGGGACATTTATAGTAATTTGTTTCAGGTTTTATAAATTTAATAAAAATCAGCAATCATTGACCATGGTTTTCTGGGATGCCACTTAACCAAATTATCGAGTTGGGATACTCATTCGACACACAATTTAAGGTTCTTTAATCTCTTAAATTTTCACATTGATGCAACACTTTAGAGTTACACGTGAAAAAACAATTAAATATCTAACAAATGTGTCATTAAAAATTTTACCCATATACAAGAAAAAATATATAAAAACTTATATATTATATATATATACTGTTTCGATCCTCAAGTTGCTGGCCTACTTTTCTTTAAATCAGCCAACATTTTTTACATCAGCAGCTCTGGAATGGCAGACTTAAATTTTACTAAGAATAACTTATATTTTCATAAATCAAAGCTACGCCTTGTAAAAGTACAACCCCATAGTAGTTGTAATGATTTTAAAGAAACTTAGCCAAAGTGGTCTCCTTGAAGCCCTTTTTCCTTCAATGTCTAAGGCTGTCACTGAGGACACAAATGGTACTGGACAGTATTATACTGTGAGCAGCTTCATATCAAATACTGACTCCCTCATTTTCAGGAAGTGAAGAAAAAATCAATTTTTATTTTATAGGTTCAATTCAAACTGTTTTTGATACTGTTTAAAAATGTTGAATTTGGTTAGATTGAAGTTGAATTTCTAGAAACATCATTAGAATTGGTCAAATAGTTAGTCCCCTTTTAATCAAATTATTAAAATCCAGCTGAAACTTCGTAAATAGCTTCCTCTCATGGTAACCTACAAATATTTTATTTGCGAAAATTCTCGGAATTGGAGCGTTTTCAATCTGGAGGTGGACATACTTTGTCTATTTAATTAGGTACTAAAAACTCGTAAATATTCATTTGATTTCCACTTTAATCGTAAGATAACTAGAGCATTAAAAAAGTCGAGAAAAAAAGTGGCCTTAAAAAATATTGACCCTTCTGGAGTGACTACACCTCCAAATTGTAAAAATAACGACGTTATATAGGCCAAACTGGTCAATATTTTTGAAGGCCAACTTTTTTCTCGATTTTGTGCTCAAGTTATCTTACGATTAAAGTTGAAATCAAATGAATATTTACGAGTTTTTAGTACCTAATTAAATAGACAAAGTTTGTCGACCTCCAGATTGAAAACGCCCCAATTTCGAGAATTTTCGCAAATAAAATATTTGTAGGTTACGATGAGAGGAAGCTATTTACGAAGTTTCAGCTGGATGTTAATAATTTCATAATAAGTGGTCTGTACCACGGACTATGTAGCTATGTTACAAAAACTGGTCTTTTCTCAACTTTTATTAAGAAATTACAAATGTCTGTCTTTGAAGCCATAAAAAAAGTTTATGTATGAATGTATAAGAAAAGAAAAAACAATGTTGGAAACTTCCAGATTCGTATGTTTTTCTCAAATTTTCAATGATGATTACGGTCGAATGTCGACCACTGGTCGAACAATAGTAAAATTAATTAGCTGCTTGGTAAAGAGTTTTAGGACCACTAGAAAGGCGTTTTCGTGTTCGGTATGGTTTTTAAAAATTGTTAGCAGTTGTATGTTTCATGAGTTGGATTTTATGCAGGACTCCAAGATTAATAAGAAAGTGTAAGAACCAAAACAAAAAAGAATGAAAGGTCGATATATCGGTATCGACTAAAACTTCTACACTAGTTGATCCTTTATCTTATTCAATCTCTTTTACCAGCCGTTACGTATTTGAGTACGCTAACTAACCTTTCCTTATCTCTGCAATTTGTTAGTTATTAGATATTTTCAAGGATAGCGAACAGAGGATAGAATATCATCCTCGGAACACGAACTGTCAAGTTCGAGACGTTGAACTTTTAATATTAACTTACTTAAAATTGAGAATAGCGCGATAATATTTTTCTGATAACATTAATCTATCAACTAAACTTGATTTGTGAGAAACTAAAATTGAATCAAGCGCACAGAATCCCACGGATGAGCGGAATCAACTTTTATAATGAATTCTAACGCAATATTATAGCTCTATAATTTTATTTCGTAAATTAACATATGACCGAATAAATAATGTTTTTAAATCAATACAGAATTATGTAAATTATAGAGTAGCCATAACAGAAATAACGATGTGGAAATTGGAATTGAGTGGAATCGTTGTACACTTCTTCTTACTGATATCGGTATTTGACATATATTTACAACAGGAAGTTTATCGAGGGCAGATCCAAAATTGTACCAACATACCATTGGCTAAAAGGTTAATTTTGATAACATTGGATGGAATAGCAGAAGATGAAGCAATGGATGCTATCTACAATGATATTTTTCTAAGGGAAAAGATGGAATCAGGAATGTGGGGAACAGCTGAAAAGAGTAATTTGATGAAATCCAGTGGCATAACTGCTATAACCACCGGTTTTGAACAGATCCCCAGGCCATTCTCTAAAATCTATGGCAATGCTAACTCTTACTTGGATAACATCTTTAATTATGCCTCAAAAATGATCTATGTTGGGGACTTGACCAACCTTGACAATTTTGACAAAGTAAAATGGGAAAACTATGCCATCAACAAACCTGAATTAAGCAATAAAACTAATATGCATGGCATTGTCGATGCTTTAAAAGAAATAATCACGAAAAGAAATGATAGTTTAATAAAAAAGGATAATTTAATACTATTTGTTGGCATGTCCAAGGAAACCCAAATGGAGGGGATAGAAGAACCAAATAAGAATTACATAAAAAAATACAAAAGTGATTTAATTAGAATTAGACTGAGACAAATAATTAAAGTAATTGAAGAGACATTCACAGATGGTGAAACTTCGTTTATTCTCTGTTCTGATAACACTGAACATACAATTAATGAAAAAAATAATGAATTATTCATTTTGTGGGGAAAAGGTGTGAACAAAATTGGTTTGACCAATATCAATATGAAGGATCTGTGTTTGTTGGCCTCAACAATACTTGGTAATCCTATACCAATCAGCAGTACTGGGACTTGGCACAAGTCATTTCTTACCCTTAGTTTACGTGAGGAAACCTTTGCAATGGCATGTAATGCTTTCCATTTGTTATCGATGGCTAACAGAACACTCCAACAAGTTGGAAATAAATTAATGGAAGCACTACATTTGAGTTCAGAGTCAGATTTACAGATTCTTGAAAAATATCAGAAAAAAATTAAAAATTTACTGAGAAATTATAAAAATGAAAGCAGTGAGATAAATGAAATTTCTGAAGAATTAGCTTCATTTAGCTTGAAAATATTAGAGAAAGATGTGATATTCATGAAAAGCATGATATTTTATTTAACTCACAGTCTATTAATTGCTTGGGCAATAACTTTACTTATTCAGATCCTACTTTTTAAAATAAAAAAGCATCCAGACCAAGAAATGAGGATACAGATTTTAAGAAAAAAGACAGAGCTATGGTTTTTTGGAATGCACACTTTACTAATTCTGTTGGGAACGATATCGATACTTTTTATAATAGTCAAAGATTGGCCACTACACTATATGTTTTACTGGTTACTAGCCCTAACGATTTGGGGATTTGTTTTAGGAAACTTCCAAATTTGGACAGGAATTATGGACCATCTAAATTTTAAAAAATTAGGAATTATATTAGGCTATATAATAATGTATGCAATTGCTTGTGAATGTTTTCTATGGGGCCTGATATACAAATTGGTGCTTTGCGGAACTATAACAGTAATTACTATGTATAACTGGCTTAAGTGTTTCATAAACAATAAATCCTTGTTGGTAAAAATTTCTTCAGTCCTGTCAGGACTAACACTTGCTGTGACTGTACTTTTATCCACATTAATGTCTGGTCCATTTCAAAGTCAAAGTCCTATAGTTGTTATACTGACTGGAATCATACTGTCATTAGTTGGTATAACTTGTGCTTACTACATGAGATATAACACGCATGATTTCTTGATGATGACTGTTTCTATATTTGTCAGCTGTGTCTCTTTAATTATGACAAGCTTCAAACTGTACCATACAGCCTACATGGTCGAAATAATATGTTGGATTTTATTCCTGGTCGCAATTTTTTTACCCATTTTTGGAGGAGATGATATAATCAACAGATTTCAACATATTGGGATTTGCTTTGGATCAAGCATTATGTTTTTATCAAAAGGCTTTGAACTATTGATTGTAATGATAATTTTTACATTTTCATTTTATTGGGTTTTGATTGACAAACCTGAACATAAGACCAAATACTTAAATAGACACAACAGTTTTCATTGTGTAGTATTTATTACACTAACTTTCACAACACTCCAGTTAATATGGGCACTGGATCCTATTCAGGCTGAAAGTGATTTTTCTATAGAATTTGATATCTTTGAAAAATTGAAACTTCTATTGGTGTTGCTTATTCCCTTGATTGCTTTCACAGTTTTGAAACATGAAAATGGTGGTGATTCTCAGCTCGTAATGTCTCTCATTCTCTTGCATTATTGCAGTTACAGATTATTTTTAGACATGGAATTTCATCAAAATGATAACGTTTTCCCTAAACAATTGGGTTTATATTGTGCTATACAAATAACTATGATTTTCTTTTTTGCAGTACATTCCTTTAGTAAATTTATAGTACATGCAAAAATAACAAATTTAAAAAAATGGCTATGGGAATTATTAAGAAGGTTATTCAACATTAGTGTTTTGTAATAGTAAAAATATTATCAATATAACAGGAATGAATATAACAGTTCAGTTCTCTCCTCTGTATAATTAAACTGTAAATCGTATTTTTTATTATCTATTACGTTATATTTTTGTTTTGATTTAATTAGTCAGAAATAATTTTAATTTAGGCTCTGTTTCAATTGAAAAGAACCAATTAAATGGTTTATTCACAAATATGGATAAATACCTTCTTAAAAGGTGGCCAATCGTCAGAGGTCTCTTCTTCAGGTGAATGGGGCAAATCATCATCACCAGCTACTAACCATTTAGTCGACGAAAACCTAGAAAAATAAATGTAAAAAAAAAATCATATTAAATTTATTGTAAATATTCACTATATCTATTATTTGACAATGTTATATTACTGATGAAAACTGTTTAAGAATTCTACAATACATAAGTCATTTTATAGCATAAACATTCTTTATTCATGATCATGGCGGTTAACTAATTTATTTATTATATTACACACCGTATATTTTTTTCATTTGTTTATTTCATTTCTTAAAAGGTTTTAAAATAATAATCCTATAAATTAAGAAATTTTGTGAGATCAAACTATTTTAAGAAAATGGTTTGCAGCAGTCAGTTATGAACAGCTCTATAAAAACAAAGATCTTTAAATCACATTACTTGATGAATAGAAATAATAGAGTTTTCTAAGAGCCAATGAATAAGCTGTTAATTCTCAAAAATTTGCTTAGTGGAAGAGCATTCGTGCAAAACAGTTCATTCCCGAAGATTGCTTACTGTCGATGTTATGCAAGTCATTGTTACCCAACGCGTTGTCAAATGGAAATTAGCTTAGTTTATACACACCTTAAAAGTTCTGTGTAATTATTAGAAATAGTTCTGTTAAAACTAAAAAGTAAAAAACATTCGGAAGGCTAACCTCACACTTTGTGCAACCTTGAGCCTTATAACACCACTGCTATGAATTTTAGAGTTATGGTTCATTGTAATTCAGTGTGGATAATTGTTAGAATTTTTAGAGAGACTAACAAAACTCTAAAGAAACTTTGAGTTATAAAAAAAAAATTCAACTCTGTAAATATGACCCCTTGATTGTAAAAATTTTGAAAAAGCAAAAAATAATAGAATACTCGTAGCTCAAAATACAAAAAAAAAAGAACGAAGATACAGAGTGAGGTTTTTCATAATTTATGCAAACTGAAAAATTGTTTTTGTTGTTTGTTTTGGTAATTGTTCTTTCCATCATCAGAAACATTTTTTTTTTTCAGTCGCTGACCAAAAATTATCAAATGAATGAATAGCCTTCAAATATATAGAATTATAGAAAATAAATTAAATTATATATCTACAAAAGGATCAGAGTAAAAAAATTAATTTTTTTTTTAGAGAATCTATTGAAAAATTCCCAAGTATATTCCATTTTTTTCTCATACAAGAGAAATTCCTATAAAACTCACGGTGTTCAGGAAATTCCTAACAGCCTACACCCTAATTAGGCAGTCCCTGAGAGAACTCACTTGAGGATTGGAGGAAATTCAAATGGCAGAGAATATATGTGCCCATTTAAAACATATATATATAAAGCCGATGGGCTGATAGGAAAGTTTTCACTGACTCAAGAGTGGATGAATGCTGTGAAACTAATTGCCAGTCATGCTCCTTTCCCTGGAGTTCTAGAGACCAGAAGTTAGGTAAATGAACTGTTGGAATTCTTTACTGCAAATAAGGTTAAGTCAGGATACCCAACTCTGTATTGTGCAAATATCGGAAAAGCATGTTCTTTGTCACCCACCAGCACAATAATATAAAGAAGAGAAGCAAATAGCCTGATTCTAGAAGATGAAAAACTATAGATGTTTTCAATAGGTTTATGAGCAAGGATTGTGGATATTTTAGCAGAAAAAGATGCTCTAATAGTACACCCCACTACAAGATTCAAAACTAACAAGACCTGAAGATACAAGCAGAAAAAATTTGGAGTAGTGCGCACATCACACAACTTTCACTTTCCAACCTTAGGGCACATAGGTATTTTCTTATAGGAAAGTGAAAACGACATTATAACTTCATTTAAAACAATTAATTATTATATAGGATGTTTCAGGGTTAAGTGGACAAACTGAAAAAATAAACTAAGGACCTTAAAACAAGAAAAAAATTCCTCTGAAGGTATGTCCGCAAACGCTTTGTTTAAGAGATATTCACACCAAAAGATTTTCATTGTTATGAATTATTTACGTTATATTTTTATTATTAAATGGCACTACATCCCAATTACTTCAGACTTGGCCTGCTCCAGAATGGAACTCCAGTTCTCCCAGTTAGTTACTGCAGCCTTCCAATCCCCGACACCAAGCAGTCTACTTGCATCAGCAGCCACACAGTCTTGCCAGTGCAAATATCGTCTTCCCACTCGTCTGTTTCCATTTACAGGCAGGCTCATTCATAGCTCTCTGTGGGGGTGCATTCATATCCATACACGCGACATGTCCTGCCCAGCGTAGTCTTGCCAGTACGATGAATTGGCTCACATCCAGGTCATTAAATAATATCTTTATTTCTAAATGCGTTCTCCACCTCCAATTTTGTGGTGTTTTCTGGACTCCTTCAAATATGCGTCATATAATCTTCCTTTCAAATCTGAGCAGGGATTTCTCAACTGCTTTAGTTAAGGTCCAACTCTCACAGCCATATGTGAGCACTGGTCTAATAAGTGTTTTATATATTCTTTTTTTGGCCTGTCTTGACAACATTCTACTGCGAAGATGTCCCTGGAGGGAGAAATAGCATCGATTAGCCACTGCAATCATCCTGTCTATCTCACAATCAATGTTATTTCGTGAATTTATCATTGACCCAAGATATACGAATTGTCAACATTCTTGATTCCATGCTGTTCCAGCCATGCTTGGTTTTCCCTTGTTAGACGTGAGGGTGGAAATATATTTTGTTTTGGACACTTTAATAATAAGACCAATTTTGGCTGCCGACACTTCCAGGCTTGTAAAAGCTTCTGGTCCTGCCGCAAACGATCTTCCCATTATATCAATATCGTCCGCATATCCAAGTATTTGGGTCATTCGATTTAGGAGGGTTCCTGTAATCTGAATACCAGAATCCCTTATGACTTTTTCAAGAGCAAAGTTCAATACCAGACATGCCAGAGCGTCTCCCTGCCTTACACCTGTCGATGTTCTAAACCACTTTGATAAATCACCTTGTACTCGTAAAACACTCATTACTCTCCATTTTCATTCAAACAAGCCTTACAAGTTTTGTAGGTACATTCATTTCTATCATTGCTTTGTATGCTTCCTCACGGTTTATGGAATCATATGCTTGCTTGAAATCAATGAAGATGTGATGTGCATCAATTTAGTATTCTTAGGTTTTCTCCAGAAGGATTCGCAAGGTGAATATTTGATCGATTGTTGATGTAACCTTAATGAATCCGGCCTGGTATTTTCCGATTTCAGCCTCGGCAAATTGTGGCAGCCTCGATTATATGAATCAAAATGATATAAAAATAGTCATGAGTTCGCGTCCCGGTGCCGAGGGAGTCTTATAATCCCCGCCTACATCCCCTGGCCTGGAAAAAAACCCATATAGGCTTAACAGCAAGGAAGGGGAAGACCAAAAAAAAAAAAATATATATATATATATATATATATATAATAGATAAGTGAAAGTAAAAATGAGATCCATAAAAAATGAATTACTTACTTACAGAAAAAGTATAGGGGTAAAGTGAATTCAGAGAATTTCTTGAAATTATTTCTGATGAAACCTCAAATTCAAAATTTTTCACAATTGCAATACTTGCCCTTACTATACATTATATATATAATATATAAGTGAAACTATAAGAATTATAAGTCTAAGCAAAAGAAATTATAAGTCTATCTTTAGCTCCATTAACGTATTAGAGAAACTGGTACATTTTGCCACTGCTGCTGTTGAAGAAAGATGCCGAGCCTGTCTTAATGCTTAAGGAAATCACTTTGAACAACATTTAATATGAATTTAATGTTTACATTTAATTAATAAAGTAGTTGTAACAAATAAATAGTTTTATTTATTTAATATAATGTAAATAATTCATAATTATGAAAATCTTTAGGTGTGAATATCTCCTAAACAAAGTGTTTGCAGACATATCTTTATAGGAATTTTTTTTCTTGTTTGAGGTCTTTAATTCATATTTCCAGTTTGGCCACTTAACCCTGAAACACCCTGTATTTTTCCCAACCATCGAATAAATTAAATTTATACATTTGCATCACTTTTCATTTCCTTTTACGACTGTGTATAGGATCAAAAATACTAAGTATTGTGAGAAAAATGAATCTTTTGGAAAAATTCTGAATTTTATTGGAAACATTTATCACAAAACTTGCCAAAAAGCCGATCTAACGTTAGTAAATATTGCATATCATTAGGGTTATATAAGTAAATCTTTAATATTTTGCATAAAAAACTTTTTAAAAAATTATGGATAAGTGAAAAATAAAAGTTAAACTGACAATATGAAAGCCCTGTACAGAGGGGTATCGAGTACTATAAAGGGAAAGGATCAGCAAAGGTCGGGCGCTCTAGATTAAATAGCTGAGCTTCCTACATAACTTATATTGTATAGCTTTCTACCTATATTTCCCCATTAGTTACCAATATATTTTCTTAATTAACTATGTTTGGCCATTAATTTTGAAAAATCCACATTTAAGCCGTCAGGATGCATTAATGAGGATAAAACCTACCTTAAATTAAAAACCAATAAATAAATACACAGACCTATTGAGTTAAATCAAAATCGTTGGAGCCGTTTTTGAGAAAATCATAAAAACGTATTTCACCGTTGATATAAAGTGGCACTTCTGGTTAGCCGATTTTAAGGAATAAGTTGCTGTGACATCTAAAGCATATACCTATCTCAAATACGTAATATCAGTTTTGTACGACTTTTTGTTTTTGAGCTAGGCTGTTCACACACGCACACACACATACATACACAGACCATTTTGTGGAACTTGGTTGGTTATTTGGACTCAGGGGACCTCAAAATGTGTATTTTTGATGAAAACTCAGATTCAAAATTTTTCACAATCGCAATACTTGCCCTTACTATACATTGTATATATAATGGATAAGTGTATGGGCGGGGTGGCCGAATGGGCAAACGCATGTGCACAGCACCGCCGTTGCCCGGCAACCTGATATATGAATCAAAATGATATAAAAATAGTCATGAGTTCGTGTTCCGGTGCCGAGGGAGTCTTATAATATAATAATTTTTTGGAAAGGCTGGATACTGAGAGGAATCAGCTACAGAGCATAGCAGATTATTATTTTGGACTCACTGGGAACCTTGCATCACCATTTAAATCTTTTGGCCTATTCTTTGTAAATTTCAGGGACAGATAGGGAATGACCATAAAACATAAAAGGAAAAACAAATCACAACATTCATTTTTCATGATAGCCTCATCTAACTTTATTCATTTAATGTCTTGATCTTTTTTTGAAATATTATCTGATAAGAATACTGTATCAGTTAGCAACTTAACACAGTTCAGCAAACTTACAATTTTATTGTACTTCTGATATGGTTTTGTGTTTTATGTGTAGTTTTTACATAAATAAAAATATGTAACTAATAATCAATTTACACAACTTAACATTAATGAGTATGGTATTCATTTAGCTTCCTTTTTATTCACTGTACATATAAAAATCTACTTAGATAAATTATAATAAATTTATTATGATATATTACAAAAATATGACATAATATACGGTAAAATATTCAATAATATGAAATACCTGAGAAGAGGTACCATTGCCACGGAAGCTGCATCCCAAAGCCTAACTGAACCATCCTCATGGCCCGTCAAAAATAAATCCCGTCTCTTTGGTTCATCTACTTCTTCCAGTTCTCCTCCATCAATAGGCCATTCCTAAAACATTCTTATAAATTTATCACCAGAGTATTTAATTCATAAATATGTTAAATATACTTCATATTATAGATATTTAAAACATTTCTATAAAAGCATAATAGAAACAACATAAGTTGTAAATGAGTTTGGTATCGAGAGGTGGCAGCTCCATCACTCAGTCGTCATACTGCATTCAGCCACTGGCTCTCCAGGTTGGGAGACATATACAGTATATTACATGCATCCTCACACTACAAACAAGGGTCACATATAGTACACATTCTAGGGTCACCACCATTAGGTAGCCGTCCCGGATGGGATATTTGGCCACTATTATTTAACCATCCACTGACATGGAGAATTGAATGAAAAAACATTGTAAGCTTTGAAAATTCGGGAAAATCTTAAGGTAGAACAGCTATCAATAGGGATAGTCCAATAATTATTGTAAATATGAGACAATCAATCAGAAAATTATACTAACATTTTTTTATTTTACCTTTAATCCAATTATATATCATATATTATTTCAAATTAAACTAACCAGCCACCTTAGAAAATGAGTAAATGCCAACATATAAGAATATATTTGATAAAATATAATTTTATTTCATAAGAAATTATAAATGAGTCACATACTGAATTGGAGTAATGCCCAGCTATCTGTTGTTTTCCAACTTCTACTATATCATCCCATAGTTCCTGCGGTAAGTTTGAAACATAAGTGGAACAAGTGACAGCCGATGCATGCAATGATACAAGATAGGGAAGCGGAAGCATTGGCCAAGAATCATCGTTCAGTTGAATAGCACAAAGCTCTTCCTCAGCAAGCACCATCAGTATAGCTATAAAAAAGGTAACATGATAAAAGATTATTTTATTAGTTTGCTGAGCCTGGAGATAACTAAAAAATCTCAGCCTAGTTGCACAGTTACCATGGGATACTTATTGCATTGCCTAAGTTTCTATGAAAGATAGAGGATGAGGTTATATATTAATAGGGTGTATAAAAAAAATGACCGTTTTATCAAATTCAAGATTTCAAAGGACTGTCATCATCACCATCAATCGGCTCTACCACCCATCACTGGGTCCTGGCCTCCTCAAGCTGCTCTCGCCAGTTAATCCGGTCAGGTCAAGTGCTGCTGTCCTCCACCTTCTAACAACGAGCAGGTTTCTCGAATCTTCATTCACACCATCAGCCCATCATAATTTGGGACGACCTCTTGCTCTGTTTTCATGTAATTCTTTATCGAGGTGTTTCTTAGGAATTTCTTGTGCATCCATCCTGACCACATGACCCACCCATCAAAGCCTGCTAAGCTTAATCCTTTTAACAACATTTGTTTCCTTTAATAAGGATTACAGTTCATTGTTTGTTCGCCTTCTCCAAATTGCATTATTTGGAAGATTTCGCTCATCCATTTTAGAGAAAGCCCATGTTTCCGATCCGTATGTAAGTATAGGTCTGAGAGTTTCTTGTACAGTCTTATTTTGGTAGTTCTAGAAAGTAAACTGCTTTCAAACCGTCGGCACAAGTCCAAAATAGCATCTATTAACAGATGCTATTCTTCCTTTTATTTCAGTCGAAATATCTTTCTGTCGAAATTATATAATTATAATTATATAGTTAATTATAATTATAATTCAGTCAAAATTATTTTTGTTTACTTAGGAACTCAGATATATAAATTCACTAACAAATGTGTAGGACCCAACTTGTATGGTAACTTCATCAGGAGGCTTCATTTTGTTAACGACCATGTATTTAGTCTTCTGAGAGTTCACGACAAGACCAATTTTTTTTTTGGCAGATGACTCAAGGGGAAGGAAGGCCTCTTTTACAGCTGTTCTCGATCTTCCATAATGTCTATAAAAGTAGCCAAGGATTTGAATTGTGTGATTTAAGATGGCTCTTCTTCTCTGGATTCCTGTCTCTCTGACTTGCTTTTTCCAAACATGAGTTAAACAATAGGCATGCAAGGGAGTCTCCTTGTCGAACTCCGTTAATAGCTGTAAATCCTTTAGAGAGATCACCTTGACTACACACCACATTTTCAATTTTTTCCATCATCAGTTTTACCAGGCATATAAGTTTTGTTGAGATATTAAAAATTTTCATGCCCTGATATAGAGATTCACGATGAACACTATCGTAGGCTGAATGAAAATCTGCAAATAAGTGGTGTGTGGGTGTCTGATACTACTCTTTTTTGTCTGTATGCATCTACCAAGGTTTCCGTATTTCTCCTTTGAATCATACTTTTGTATGCTTCATTTTTTTGATCAGTGGCCAATCGACATTCTTTATCAAACCAAGGAGATCTCTTGAACTGTTTAAAACTTATGTTTTTTTTTCAGCTGCCTCATATACTGCTGTTTTAATAGTTGCCACATCTCATCAACATCCGTGTCCAATTAATTGATCTGTTTGCCAAATTTTCATTAATTTTTTGGACAAATTTCATGCGTGCTAGTGCTAAGCTTGTTTAATTCCATTCAACTTCTTCAGAAATAGCCTCAGTTTAGTTATTTGTTTCAAAGAAGAAACAAGACAGTGCCCTACAAAATTCTCATAATTTTAAGGCATTACTGGAAAAAAATTTCACTGCCGCTGAAGCAGCTCGTGAAATTATTAAATATGAAGGAGAAAGTGTCCTTGACCAGCGCACTGCACGGCATTGGTTTGAAAATTTAGCAGTGGAGATACGACGTTGGAAAGGAAGAAGGGCTCTAGACGACCATTAATGGAAATTGATGAGGTTCTGCAGGAAGCTGTCTGTTGAGTCAAATCCGTCCACAAGTACTTGCGAACTTGCCAGGGAGTGTGGTGTGTCAAAAGACGCTGTTAGTCGCCATCTACTTTCCATGGGAAAGGTGGAATCCGAGACTAGCAGTAGACTGGTCCCTCACGAACTTACTCCTCAGCAATCAGCTAAGAGGTTAGAAATTTATTGAACAATTTTCCTGATTTTACCAAAAGATTGTTACTTGTGATGAAAAGTGGGTTTACTGGCAAAATCGGAATACCCGTGAGCAATGGCTAGATCGCAGTCAAACTGATTTTCCGATTGCTGCAAGAGAGCAATTGGAAAAAAAATCCATGCTTTGAGTTTTTTTTTAGAATTTTGAAGGTGTTATTCATCACAAATTTGTTCCTGATGGATGCTCTAGGAATTCTGAACTCTACTGCGAACAACTGAAAAGATTGTACATGAAGTTGTTATTATTTCATCACAGCATTATTCTGCTTTGATCAACCTAAAAGGAATTTTATTCAACAAGATAATGCTTGTCATCATACTTCCAGTTGAACCAAAGAAAAGTTTCAAGATATTTTACCTACCGCTGTCAATATTTCCTTGCTACCTTTCTGTACCACGCCATTAGGACTTGGCGACCCGCCTATATTCTACAGATCCTACAATTTAAACGCTCCTTTCAATCCCGTCCCACCAGATCCCATGCGTCTGACCTCTATCCTCCTCCTCACCGAACTGCTGCATTTAATAAATCCTTTTTAATTCATGTTGTCTCCCTCTGGAACTCTATACACTCAGATATTCGACACACAAAATCAATATCCTCCTTCATAACTCTCTTCTTCAAACACCTATTCCATTCTCAATCTGATTGATGACGAAATGCACTTAAAAACTGAACCTATAAGAATCTCAAAGTACACCCAGATACTTTGATTATTTTGTGATTCATTGATATTTTGTTAACTCAATTTATTTATTAAGTTTACTTTATTTTATATATATATATATATACATACACATTTATATATCTTTTTATTATCTATAATTTTATTTTATTCCTAATCATTCTGTAAATATTTAATTGTATTTTATGGAAACATTAGAATATTAAGATATATTCTGTATTTGTAACTTGTTCTAAAGGGAAACTAGACCCAGAATAATAAAATTATTTTCATTCATTCATTCATAGTCCAGACCTCGCACCATCGGATTACTACTTATTTAGATCCATGGTCTATTTTCTTCAAGAGAAAAACTTTGATAATGTATTATTTTTATATATTATATAAAACACTATTATTTTTATATCTAAAATTAAACACTTTTAAAAATGAATACTATAACCCCTCATTGAACTTATAGAACTAGAGCCAGGGCCCTAAAATCGACCTCGTTGCAGTCGAAGGTTTGATTATAAATAACGAAAGTGTATGTTATTCTGAGTAAAAAGAACCTTCCAGAGCTTTCAAAAATGGCGGCTCATTTAAATAATATTAGGCCAGTAATTTGAGGATCGAAACGAGAAATCCATTACGAAAAATGTGAGAAAAGTTTTTATTTTTTTACATTGTAATATGTGTTTAGACATGTAAAAAACAAATTGCTAACACAGGCCACCAAGGAAAAACTTTTTACAGAAAAAAAAGTCAGATATTTTCGTTTTTTCACCTCTAATTCCTAAACAATACATTAAAGTGAAAAATATACTGTTTATTAAATTAAAAAACGTTAAATTGTGAGTTAAACGAGTACATAAACATTTTAAGTTAGTTACGTGTTAAGGTTTTATAAACCACGGTCAACCAAAGATGATTTAAACCTTATTAAGCTACAGTAAATGTATCTAAGGTTATAAACACATACTATATACATCCATGAAATGATTTTATATTTTACTCCTTCTTTCACACAAGTATAATTAAATAGTTTTTTAAACAATGGCATTGTCTAGATTAGGTGGATTTTAAATATTTTTTTCAAACTTGAAAATACTTTAAAAGGTTTTATTTAGTCAGTAAATTTCATTTAATTACCTTGAAAACATGTGATTTACTACAATATTATTAGTATTAAAAAATTATTCCTTATAATTTTTTTTCCACCCTCCGTTACCTTCTACAACTTTCTATATTAGACATTGTTTTTTCTAAAATTCTCCAGTTTACAATGATATATTATACGTATACCTTCTGTCTAGTATTTCCGGAGATTCAATTTCGACCAGGAATAGCATTTTTTTTTTCTCCTTTATTCAATTATCAAATTTTTTCAAAAGTTATATTTAGCATTTTTTCGTAACTCTTAATAATGAGATAGTTAATTATTTAAAGTAAAACATATTAAAGGTAAGTTGGAGGAAGGCGCATATGAACATTGGTCATTTAAGCTCTGTAAAGTGACATCAACAGGGATAAGACCTAAATGACATTAAAGACCACTTAATTATATAATGATAAATCGAGTTTAATCAAAATCGTTAGAGCTATTTTTGTAAAAATGTGTTTCACCGTTGATATAAAGTGACACATCCGGTTAGCCGATTTTAAGGAAAAAGTAGCTGTATCATCTGAGTCATATACCAATCTTAAATAGGTAATATCAGTTTCGTACGACTTTTCATTTTTGAGCTAGACTGCTAACATACACACACACACAGACTATTTTTCGAGACTTGGTTATTTGGATTCAGGGTGTCCCAAAACGTGTATTTCCATTGAAAACTCAGATTAAAAAAATTTCACAATCACAGTACTTACCCTTACTATATATTACATATATACTTAAGTGAAAGTAAAAAAGAAATAATTAAAATTGAACCATTATTAGCAATTTTATTATTATTATTTTAATTGAGAAATTTAGTTTAATGTTAGTTTAAAACACGAATAAAGTTTTATATTAATTTTCTTTTCCTCAGCCGATTACTATTACCGAGAAAACAAGAATTGATTCCTCCATCTAATATGTTGCATTATTTTATTATTTGTTCACTGAACAATATACTATGCTAATTATTCTCACGAGCCAACTGATTATTATTTTAAATCTGTTTGATAAATAAAATGTCTCTAAAAACATTTATAATAAAATTAAAATTAAATTTTCAATGTTTTTATAACAATACTGTAACCATTGCTTCTAAAGTCACCAACTAAGGAATAATAAAAAATAATGGCTTACCAAAAAAGAAAAAAAGAAAACACAACATCAAAACTTGTATTGCATAAAAATTATATCTACGTTTATAGACCAATATTCAAAGCAGAACTATTACAAGATGAGATGAAAAATAAAATTAACTCATGATTCAATATTTAATATTGTCTTAATATGTATGAGTCCTAAATTTCTTATGAAAAACCATGATTGTAGAAAGAGAACAAAAACATTTTAATACAATTCTCCCTATATACCTTGATTATATAAATGACAGACTTATTTTACTTACTATCATCTTTTGAAGTAGTGACAAAGAAGTCTATAACCTTGGAAGTAAAGTCAAAAACTACGTGTCTATCGCCATCTAATACTGATATTGTATTTCTGTCACTGTATGAAGCCCTTTGCATACCACCAGAGAAGATAATCATATCTCTAAAAATAAATATAAATAATATTAATAATATAATAGGAAAACATGCCATAAAGTAAAATAAAAAATAAGTTACATAACATTCATGAGGAATCGTGTCCTCACTGTAAAGAAGTTCTCTTAGATAGTGATTGAACAGAACTTCCTGTGGCCTATATGAATATATATACTAAAATATATGTTTTTCAAATCATACGAGACGTTAGAAGTTGATAAATCTAGGCATTTAAAATATCCATATTTTTCCTTTCATTCCCTAACACATCCACAGTTAATGAATGAAGGCAATACTCCCTATCGCCAAAACTTATAATTATTAATAAATAGTTAAAGATAATTTTAATTATATCTTACCATTATACCCATTATTATTAATAATATACATATATTATTCTTACTAGCACCCCTTTTACCATTTTATAAATGGCCTAAATCTGCTGAATGTTACATGAAAAGTGCCCTAAAATACAGTCTATGATTGAATTTTTTTTAAGAATTAAGGAAGATTTCAATGCTCCTGGACTTTACTTTTAATTTGTGCAAGTTTTAAAATGACTTTATTTTTTAATAAGTACCTTGCCTACTTCTTAGATTTGAATGGGACGGATTGAATAATAATCTGCACTGCCGATCAAACTTAATACTCAATAAAAAAAATTACAAATCAAACTTGAGAACTTCCCTAAGTAGGCTCAAAAGATGAAGTAGATTTCTATATTTCTAATCTATACAACTGTAAAGGTTGTCCTGACGATTAACAGCAATAATATCTTAATCCATACTTAACTTTTAAAGTAAATAGTTATCGAATTTTTTAGTTACCCATGAGCTATCAGCTTTGAAATTTTTTTACACGGAAAGGGTCCATAAACTGTAGTAGAATCTTTAATTGGTTCAGACATCTTCGTACTCCATATCATGTAACTACCATCGTTATGAGATGAAACAAATGTCTCGTTATCTTTCCAGTCCACACTTTCAACACCTTGCATACTGATACAAGTCTGAAAAGAAATAACATAGACAGATAAACATCAGGAACAGATAAGAATAATGATATTTTATATAAACAATAAGCAACTGTTTAAGAATAGATATAATATTTACTTCATAAAAATTATACTTCCACTATTCAAATATATCAATAAACACTGTCCATTATTTGGATATTTAGTTGAAGCTTTTAATAGGCTCTATATCAGAAGATATGGAAAAAATCATCACAAACTGATTAATCTCATTTAAAAGATGTTTTGAAATTTAACGAACAGGGTTTTAAACTTAAGAGCTTTTCTCAAAACTACTTAAAACCTTATTTCGAGATAACAATCTTTTTTAAGGGTTTTTGTTAAAAAAAAAAAATCAATGAAGAGAAAAATAAAAGTAGAAGACTAAAATTTTGATTTCTTTCATTGTTCACTGGTCTTACTCTTGACCCAGATACTTGAGAGATCCCTAGTCCATAAGGATTTTCCTCCATTTCTATACCAATTAGAAGTTCATAAAAGTACAGAGATTCAAGATTCTATTATAGAATATGATGAAGTAGTTGTCCCTATCTTACAAAAGCTAAAACCCTGCCCTGTCCTTTCAGCAATGTGGGATGCTACGCATGCTTGCATTGCAAATCCAGAGGTTCTAGCAGACAACAAGCTTAACAATTACTCTTTTTAAGCTTGCTCTTCTTTGGTCCAGCCTCTTCTAGCCTTCATTGTCCTCCATCATCCTTTCAGATGGAGTTCCTCCACCCAAGAAGAGGATTAGATAAACTCCTTCTTCCCCAATGTGTACACAAAGACCATTGTAGTTTTCTTTAGTTATTAGTTAGCTTCTGAGCTCCATTAAGACATAGAGCCCTGTCTTCCTCTACAACTGAGCCTGAGTGCCTCGTAAGCTATACTGATGGGTACAATATTCTCGGCAACTTTAGGTAATCCACAACTTGGGCATATTCAACTCCCATGCCCCGTAACTGAGAGGCCCAGCAGTATGGAAAGACCATGTGGTTTCCTTTTTCCCTGTAAACTGAGTAATATGAAGCCCTTTCAGCCTTCTGCCTTAACCTTGACAGAATAGAATGAGTAGTTGCCATCCTCAACTTCTTTCTCTCACTATTAGAGATTTAAAAGGGCATGAGTATTTGCTAACAAGATATAAGAAATTCCTTAGTGAATTTAATGTCTAAATTGTTCAATATTACCTGTAACCCTCCACCTCTCATTATAAGCTTTCCTTTTTCTTGATTAGATATTTATCTATTTTTTTTTCCCCTCCCCTTCCTTGCCTGCTAGGTTATACAGGATTTTCCTGGGCCAGCGAGTGAGGGCGAGGATTAATGCCAGAGTTAAAAGCCTGGTTTTGCTTCTTGGAACCATTTTGCCTTTCAGTTATCGCCCATCCGGTATACATGGCCAAACCACTTCAGTTGACGCTCATCTACGACTTGTTTCACAGGTCTTACATTCAGTTCTTCTAAGAACCATGATGATACCTCTTGAATAACAGTTTTGCTTTAGAGAAGGCAATTAGTTTTTATATTTATCTCAAAGAACTCTGGAGAGCAAGAGAGGTGGACATACACCAAATGCAAAGCTTACATCAGTGTGATTTTTTTCATTACATGGACAGATGACTAGCCTAATGCTATGTGCTTCATGTCCCATACACAAGACATTACAACCTCTTTTATCACAGGTTATATCGATTTAATTATTTTCTTTTAAAAAAAAATTCAATTCATATATAATACATTAAATTCAATTAAAAAATAAATAAATCATAAACCTGTTCGGCTGCTGGCTTTTTCATATTCCAAAGAACCATTAACCCTCTTTCATATCCAATTAATAAATTATCAGGATTATCTGGCTGAATTGCCATAGCATCAACTGCACCAGGATTAATTTTATAATCTTCAGGAACACTGAAAAAATGTCAAATATATTATGTTTACGTAAAATATCATTGTAACACAAATATTATACCGATAAATTTAAAAAGTAGCTTACTTTTGCATTACAACATCTTGATAAATAACAATGTATGACATTCCAAAAGTACTGAGGTTGAGCAGATACACATTACCACCTTCTGTTCCAATCAGTAAATGTTCTTCAGAACCTTCTAAGCATAATGCAGAAACTTTATTCAACCTAAATTTTGGAAACATAATTAAATTATTAAAAATAAATATAAGCCAATAAGAGGGTGAAATATTTGCCTTCATTGGTTCTAAACTAATAAAAAAGTAATGAAATATTTTAGAAGTATTAACATGTTCAAAACCTTTATTTCTATAATTAACATAAACTATCAGTTCAACATGAATTCAACTATCATTATAGAAAAAAAAGCAACTGAAAAATATTTGTATTTCTTTGTTCATAACTGTCTGCCAAACATTATATGTTTTCTGAAGTGGTCAATTAGGTCTAAAAACAAGAATAATGTGTGTATTGAAATTATTATAGGGAATATACATGTTTGGATCTCATAAGAGATTTGAATTTATAGCGAAAATTTTAGTGAAAACATTTTATTTTTAGATTGCAATAAAAATTCGTTTTTTAAGGAGTGAAAAACTCTAGCAGGGATCCAGGTGTGTTTTTGTATAATATCATAATGCATTATTCTTGTTTTTAGACCAAACAGGGACAACATACTAAGTGCATCTAATATTATGGTAGATATCTGACCAGTTTAGAAAAATCATTTGGCAAATTGCTATATTGTGGGTACAATACCAGGACTAATATTAACGAAACCTCCATATACAAATTAGAACCGGATACATAAAATAGAAACATGTTAGAAGTTTTTCTTTATATCTCTCTTCCAAAGACATGAAACATAAAGGTATTGATATGTGTTAAAAGAGGACTCATTCAACTACCCAATGGTAGTAGTAACATTAAATTTTGAGAAAATATTTATGAATGTTTTAGTGAATGAGAAAAAAAAAAAAATGAAAATCAAGGCTAGAAATTAAATTGGCTTTTATTTCTGTAGAAATTCATATTAAAGGACCTGTACCACTACAACCCTTGAAGGGTCTGGGGTTCAGTACTATTTAGGGAAAGCACTGTTTCTAGGTCCACGGTTGTACAAGGAGGTGATTTGACCGAGATCACGCTCAACCGCCAGGTTTTCCCCCCTAATTAATTATTTAATTAAGGGTACCCACTTTATAGAGGCTGGGTATGCCCCAGGAGGGACTCCTGACCCAAGGTCGCCCCACGGCCAATGAAACAGATAAATAAATTTTCTGCCATGAGCCGGGATTCGAACTCGGGACCTTTGAATTGGAAGCTCAGAGCCCTACCACTGAGCTACCCCACTCCCTTCATATTAAAGGACACTTAAGACAAATCCAGCTTGCATTATTCTAACAATAACTTACAAAGCTAACTGTACTGGAAGGATGTTTTGTAATTCCTTATATATTTGAACTTATTTAATACAATTAGTAATATTTGTTTCCTTATTTTAACAAAAAAAAAAGTTGATTGGTATGTTATCATCATGAAATCTATGTAGAACAAAGGCAAAATACAATAATATAATATTCGTTGAAATTATATCAAATAATTATTTTCTAGACTCTTGGAGTTCTTGAAAAGAAACCACAGACACATGTCCAGTATATTTATCACCATAAAGATTTCATTGAATAAAGTGATTCCATTTCTGTAACCTCCACTTATAAATATTATTCACAATAAATGAGTTATACTTAAAGATAATCACTATTCAATAGCTAACATCTACAACATTATGAAAATAAATTCTTGGCCTCCATAGAAAAATGTGATTTTATTATTATTAAGGACATTGATTTCATGAAATCTGAGTACATAAGTGTAAACTATAATATCTGAACTTGAGGCTACTATACCATGTTATTCATAATTTCAAAACATTTTTAGTACTCATGGAAGTTTTGTCACGACACCCTGGTTGATATGTCAAACCATGAGGCTTATCAGATGTTAAATTATTTTACAACCTTGCCATTGAATTTAAATATAAAAACTTAAGATTGTCACAAATTTAAACTGACGAGAACCAAATAAGTGATTGGTTTAAAGATTTGACAACTTACTTTCCTTCAACAGTATGTGACTTAACGTTCTCCAAGACATTGTCATTAATCTCCCATAAATGAAGAGAATTGTCTTCACATAATGATACGACACGACCCTGAAAAGATTATCATGTTAAGTAACAAAGATAGTCAAAGGAATGCAATATTGATTGACACTGCACCAATATTAAGAAACAAATTATAAAAAATTACCTGATTGGGTATAAAAATAAGTTTGGTCACTGAGATATCAGAACTTGCATGGTGACCATAGAATTCCACTCCTGGCTGTCCAAGACTGAATATTATATTAAGGAAATGTTATAGAATGCTCTGGTATTAAGTATAAAAACTTTGTAGCTTAAAGAGGCAATAGAGCATCAGCCACCAATATTCTTTATAGTTTTCTTTAAACACACCCAAAAATAGCACTTAAAACAGTAATCATGATTAAATGAAAAAATTAAAACTACATAGAAACAGCAATTTTATGCAGATAATTTTATTTAATCATAATTTATTTTTTTATGTTTAAAATATCAAAAGTATTTTTTACCCAAAATATTTATAATAGCATTTTTTATTACATATATACTCAAAGCAAAGTAGTATTTGATTAGGAAAAATATTGAGTAAATAAAAATACAAAATGTTTAAATTTATTATAACACAATAGGCAGAAAGTAGACCAAAATGTTTACAATATTTTGTTTAGTATACTTAAAAAGTCAAGTAATGATTAAGTACTCAGTCAAGTAAATAATACAAATATAAGGTATATATAATAAATTATAATTACTTAATACACCAAATAAAAACAAAGCTTTAAAGCAATAAAAAAAGTGGTTATATAGAGTAAATGTATTATCTGAAGTGAAATTAAAAGGAAAGAAAATAGTCCAACTAAATGCTGGAGTACACACTTATTAAGCCATCTTTACTTAGATAATACTTTACTAATTTTACTTGATACAAAAATAATTAATAATCACATAAAATAAGAAAATAAAATCTGAAACTGAAGGATTACCATATTTTACCAAATTCTTTTCATCATTGGATTACGTTTCAGAATTAGAAAGAAGTAAATTAAATTAAACTACTTCTGATTTTATAAAACAAATTTTTAAAATGCAGTTTTAAATTTGACAGGGTGGGTCAATCAGGATCTTCTTTTTAAACTGAAACATTCTTCTAAATACTTACTATATAATTTTCAATCATTTCTCTATGACAACTTCTTTTTTGTCTGACAAAGCATAATGACATCATCGATAAAACTGATTTATATAAGAATTCTTCAAGATTTTATCTTCGTCCAACTTAATATACACCTACCACTTACCGGCAGATTATGACATACTAACTACAACTTATGCGGACGACATTGCTATTATTGCAAGAAACACAGAAGCTATAGAGGCCTCTCTGACAACACAATACAATCTAGACAAATTATATAATTGGTAAAAGAAATTTAAATCGAACATCAACCATGGAAGTCACAAGATATTACATTTACACTACCAAACAAAACTTGCTCTATAGTTTACAGAAACCTAGTTAAGGTTACAATCAACAAAATGTTGACATGGGGTCCACATGTCAAGACAAAATATAAAACACTAAATTTTTTAATGATCCTATTTATTGTAATCAATAGTAAACAAATGTTTTAAATTACTTCCCAGACAAAAGTTTTAAGTTTTATATTTGTTTACTAAATCTTATAAGAACCTTTTAAGAACTTTTCAAATTAACAGAACTAAGAAAAATATATTATTTAGAATTATAAATACTCCAATATACATTTTTAGACTGATAATGAACTCTTCACCTTATGTTTCAAACAAGGCTCTTCACACTAACTAATCACATTCATATGAATTACAAATTGTTTTGCAACAAATTATATAAATATATCAACACAGAATATGCCAACAACTAACATTCCTGATGCATCTCGGCAAAGGATGACAAGGAGTGGATGAGGAACCTGCCAATGTGACAAAATATTTGAAATAAAAATTAGAAGGATGCATAACTGGATGATGTCTCCTTCATGCCTACCAATGTCATATATAATATAATTTAGCACATTTGCTAACTGTAAAAGTTTCCAGGCCTAAATAAAATTGGCCTTTCTTATTATGAAAATGACTTCTAAATGAAAATCAGTAAGTGTGGAAAAAAAGTTCAACTCAATAAAAGAACTAAAAAGCTAAAAGGAAAATAAAGATATCACAAAAAAATATGAAGTTACAACTGATGTATCAACAATATATGACAATTGAATTCAATTATTATTAAAAATACATTGTTGGATATAGGAAACAATAAAATCCTAATAGCTTAATAAAATCGATAAAGTAATATTAAAATAATAGCCTCTAAAACTTCTTCAAACAAAATAAAATAACATAAACTGTTTTAGTATGGCAGGGATAAAAAAAGTTAAAACTTTCTATTTAATAATTTTATTTTAGGAATGTTTATGTTCAATACATAGAGGTTCAACTGCACTTTATTAAAATATTATACAGATCTAGTTTAATTATTTAATATGTATTAAACTATTTATTAATCATTTTATTTATCTGTGCATATATATATATATATATATATATATTTAAAAAAAAAAAAAATAATAATAGACTGGTCAATGACAGATCTACAGTGTAATATCTATTAATAGAAAAACCAACAGGAAACCACGAATCATCCAATAATAACAATTCCAAAAATCATTAAAATTATTTATCATGTTATCAATGTCTGATCATGACCCTCAGTGATAAGAAAGAATAAATATGTGATTACTGCTATAACTGAGGTAAAGTATAAATTTAAACTAGGGAGTGGCACACTTGATTTTTCTTATCTCGGCGATTAGTACACCACATCAAGTGTGAATGAGATATTCCAAAATAATAATGATTAAAAAGGATACATTTTAATAGCTCCTGTTGCTGTCCCAATGGCCATAAGCCTAAGAACTGGATCCCATGCAAGGCAGGTGGGTTTATTTGGAAATCCATGCTGAACAGTCTAAAAACAAAATTAAAAGAACTGATTAATTGACAATCAACAACAAATAAATCCTAATATTTTTTGGCAAAACTTCCTACTATCCTTAAAATCTAGTGATTATAGTTAAAATCTTGCTATATTTATGCATTTTATTTATAAGATTTATGCATTAGTCGATTTTTAAAAATGTATAACTGAGGCTTACTTTTTAGAAACATATTTTAACATTTTATATATATACATACTTAATAAATTCCTTAGCCAAAATATTAGTGAATTGGAGAACCGTAACTATAAAATTATAAACTTTATAATTTACAACTGAACGCATTAATTAATGTTAAGTATTTTCCTTTTGAAAATTAATATCACAAAAGCATCTGATGCACCTTTATTTTTCAGTGCTAGCATTGTGTACTTGATCTCACAGGCACAACTAAGTAGTGTATTATTAATATAAACTGAAGAATACAGTTGGAAAGTCCTAACGATCAAAAGTTAATGCATGTAACAATATTATTAACATTTACTTTATTATTATTTTTTCTTTTACATTCTTGAATGAAATCAAATAAGGTTTTATTTTATAAATAATTGTTCAAAAACAGCTTTTACTTCAAAAATATAAAGTAGTACTGTATAAGTGCTTCCTCACGATAGTTAATCAATTATCAAAATTTTAATAAATAATTTTATAATTATAGACAAATTTAAAATAAAAAGTTTAAAAATTACTACTATTTGTAGTCAACTAATTTTTAAGAAATAGATAAACACAAATGGAATTAACTAAGGATATTGTTACAGTTCAGTATTTCTTTTTTTATTCTAATAAGTTACAAAACAAATATCAAAAATAAATCTAAAATTTTGAGGCTGAAAAAAAAAAAACTGAAAACCAAAAGGACTAACATTTTCATTTAAATAAACGAGTTTAGTCAAAATCAAATAAAAATTTATTTTATTTCCATATGCATACAACACATTAAGTTATAATAATGGTTATGAGTTAAACGAGTTTAGTGAACACCTGGCTAAGCGAAAAAAGTAACATTAATATTTGAGGGGAAAAATATAAAAATGTTACATGTTACAAATATAATATTAATATGAAATAAATTTTATATCATAAGTTTTTATCTAAGTACTAAAACTTTAAAAGGCACGGGCGGATCTATGGGGAGGCTTTCGGGCTGAAGCGTCACCCAAAATGGTAAAATATAACCATGTTATATAAAAAAAAAATTATTATTTTTAAAAGTATTATTGTTCATCTAATTACAGTTAATCACTTAAAAACCATTTCATATATGTAGTTAGTTTCTTTCTTCCGAAGTCATTATCCTAATAAGTTTATACAAAAAAAAAAAATCTGGGCTGAAGCCCCCTCCAAAACAAAATCGTGTATAGAGGTAAAAAAATGAATAAAGAGTTTAGGTGAGAGTTATTATTCAAAGATAATGGTTTTATTTATTTGTTTATCAAAAAAGCCTCAATAAATAAAATTTAAAGTAAAACAGAAAAGCATTTTACAGAATTGTAAAAGAATACAAACAAAAGGAAGAGAATCTAGAAAAAAATGTATCAAGTTAATATTAGCAGAATAAAAATCATTTTAAGGGTGAGGTCTAATAAACTAGAGTGGAGTACTAAATATAACAAAAAAAATAAATAAATATTAGATAACGTCGGTGAGTATGATTAATTGCAGCTAATGAAGAAGATTTAAACAAACCACAATAGAAAATCTAGTAAAATTAGAAATGTTAATAATTTAATTAGTTATATAATAATAATTAATATTTATTAACATGCTTTTATTGAATTTATTTGAAACTTGGAATATTTTTGTTGATTGTTTCAATAAGTACCTATATTTCATTTTTCTTATTCATTGAAACAATCAACAGAAATATTCCAAGTTTCAAATAAATTAAATAAAAGCATGTTAATAAACATTAATATTACAAAGATCATACTTATTATTCTGATTTAGAATTTTTTCTGAAAAATCATGCGATGCAAAATGAATATGCTTTATATTATACACTTGTATTGCACTTATGAAAATTGTAAAAAAACAAAAATCATAGTTCAATTATATTTTATCAACTTTAAACATAACATCCATGCCATGAAAATAAAAAGTATGAAAACCATCCAGGAAATTAAAATATTAAGTGGTAATGATTAGTCTGAATGATTTATTGATTTACAAAACTATAATAAAAATGTGATTACAGAAAATATACTAAAAGATATGTCTTCAGTTCCAGAAAACAAAACAATCGTAAGGATAACACTAAAATTCCAAAAATATCAATAAAAAATTAAGTAACAAATTTGCAGGAAAATCAAAATTAATCCAATATATTCATAAATTAAATACAACAACTTGTCAAATAAAATAAACAAGAAAAACACAAAAGCATAATCAATAAAAGTAAACCTAGCAACTAAAAACAATTTATGAAATTTTATTCCAATCTGTGATTTTTATTTTTCTATTAACACCAGGAAAAAGCTTTATTTACAACCACTACTTGATGAGTACACAATGTGATAAGAGATAAAGTGTTACAGGAAGAGATATAATAAATTTACCAAAATTTGACCAAAAGATAGGTAATACTTAACTTCTCTAAAACATGGAAATAAAAGCTATGGCACTTTGACAATATTAAACATGATTTGGTAAACAAGTGGAAGTTAAATGTTAAATAAAGTTTTCAATAAGTTATATGGCAAATTTATAATAGTAATTTTGATATATAATACTGTTAAGTGACAAATCAAACTAAAAAACTTAACAGTGCTAACAACTTGTGATATAAAAAGTAATTTTAGTACATAATGGTTAAACAAGTAGGATATTTTTGCCTTTAAGGAAAGTTATAAAAACAAAGGTTTAACTGGTTTAAACAAAAGAAACTTTAATCTGTCTTACCTTTCTGAATGCAAACAATTCCTTTTGTAATTTCACTCTTTCTGCTGAAGGCTGTTGGCCTTTTCCTCTGATAAACTTCAACATACCTGCAATTTTTTGGCAGACAGGTTAGGTTACCTTTCAAAGTAAACACTAGCACCAAAACAAACCAACTAATGAAACACAATTTAACATTTCACTATGACACAAGGTTTAAGAGGCAGGTTTCTTCACTGTCGCATTTAATGATCACAAAACTTCATATATTGATATATAAATAAAAAAAGGAAACGCCTGCCTGCTTACGTCAACCACAGATGCCGAAGTGAATCTCGAATAACATGTTGTTAATCGGCACGAATAATATTTTAATACCTTTTATGTGCAAACTAAATCACATACCTGAAGTGTTTGCTTTATAATTCAGAACAATTCGATTGAGAACCTTCTAGGTAACACTTTGTATAGAATAGCCTACTTGCCACAAGCATCGGACGCCTTCGAGATTACAACTGGTCATTGGTTTGTACGTGGACAGTTTAGCCAACATTATTTATAAAAAAAATATACTTGAGAATAATTAAAATTTTTAAACTCCATGTTCGTTTATACATATATTTTTAAGCCTGCTGTAAAATAAATTCATTTTATATATATATCCAACTTGGAATTCGAAAGCACTTAAACTACAACCAGTGTACATAGAGTTCGATGACACATGAAAGGTAGATTCACCTACGCCATTCTTGTCCATTATTCAAGCAGGGCATTGAAAATTGGATATTCAAAGCGTTCTACAACCATTATCACTGCTATAAAATATGCTACAAACGACTAAATTGTGATAATAAATAAGAATTAATGTTTCTTTAATACAATATTCGAAAATGGAGAAATCTTTAAAAACAAGGAATGAAAAAAATAAAAAATCAACTTTAATATTTCTTTATTGTACAACATAAAATATTATTGCACATTTAATTTAAAATAAAAACAATTTGTCTATGGAAACACAATATATTTTTTATGCGTAGCAGATAAATCATTTAACATAATAAATAAGTTAATGTCAAAAACAATCAACAAATTTTTGGTAACTTTTAAATTTCTTAAATATCAACAGGAAGTGGGTCTCATAATTTCTTACAATAACAGTAATTAATAGCTCAAATATTTGTTTACAATATAAGAAAAAAATTATCAGAAGATGAATATCTTAAAATACTCAATAAATTATATAATCATAATTAAATGTATTGAAACACAAATTTTCATCAGATATACAGCTAGTAAATTAGATAGAACTTAAATATAGACTTAAGTCTCACAACCATTTACTTAACTCTATTTGAAAATTAATTTAAATTCTACACCATAAAATACATAATTTAATGAATTAAAATGAAAGATTTTCATTGGATGGGATACATAAGTCTCATAACCTTAACTTAATAGGATACTAAATTGAAAAAATATTTTATAAAATAAAATTTAAATACACTCAACGGGTTAAGAAAAACAAGGGTTTAATTTAATTCAATTCAGCAGAACAATAAATAATTGAGTAATCAGTTTCTTAAAATAAATCCAAATATTAGACCAGTGAAAGACCAATGGTCAATTATTAAAATTTTTAAAGGCAACAAAATTAAAGCTGGTAACAGTTCACTATTAACCTCATATTTCACTTTTATATTCTAATGAGAAATTGAATATCAAGTTATTCTATTATATTTAAAATTACATAGACAGGTCCAAACTGAATTATCAGAAACATATTCAAATTAACAGAATGTGGTCATAAAATACACTTTACAGAGTACATTTTCTATTCATCTGGACAATTAGCACAGCCTTTTAGGAATGTCGAATAATACATCCATAATGGAATGAATTGTATCAATTTACACTTTTGATTATTATAATCAATATTACAGGAATAAAATAAACTAAAAATAGATATAATCATTTTCTTTTCAAAATGAAAAGAATTAATTTGGTAAGAAATCTAAATTTCCATGAAGATATGCATATGTAAATACCGCAATGACTTTATTAAGAGTTTCTATTGTAGGAAAATCCAAACTAGGATAATCATCTTTTTCGGTGTGCCATACAGAGGGGAACTGAAGTGGAATCAAATGCAGAATGGGAACACCTAAAAGGTAAAAAAAAAATACAAGATGAATAATTTCCTTAATTTTTATAAAAAAATAAGATAAAGAAATCATGACTGTAGTAAATAAAGGAGTTTTATGAAAATAATTGTTGTTCATCATTATAATTATGTGTACCTCCTTAAATAGCATGGCGTACCTCCTTGCACAACTAGCCCTGGAGCCAGGGCCCAAAAATCGACCTCATTGCAGGCGAAGGTTCGATAGTAAATTACAAAAGTCTAAGAGAAGGAGTTGAACGGGAGGTGAGGTCAAATAAATACGTAGGATGAAACACTGCTTGTGTTTCAACTGCCTCCCACAGTGCTACATCCTACATATTTATTTGACCGCACCCCCGATCAACTCCTTTACATATTATATCACGGTCAACCATCTCCACATCATTATGAAAGTGAAAGTTATTCTGAGTAAAAAGAACTTTGTCTGCCGTTCCAGAGCAGCTGCTTTCAAAAATGGTGGCTGACTTAAAGAATATTAGGCCAGTAATTTGAGGATCGAAACAGGAAATCCTGTGTGAAAAATGTGGGAAAACTTTATAATTTTTTAACTTATATATATGGGATTAGACATGTAAAAAACAAAATAGCTAACGCTGGCCACCAAGGGAAAACTTTTTACAGCCCAAAATGTCAGAATTTAATATATTTTTGTTTTTCACCTATAACTCCTAAATGATGCATTAAATCGAAAAATGTACTCTTTAATAAATTAAAGAACGTTAAATTGTGCATCGAACGAGTACATATACTTTATAATTTAGTTACGTGGTAAGGTAAAAACCATGGTCAACCAATGCTGATTTTTAACAAATTTGTCAAAAACTGAGACAAATTACTATAAATGGCCTTATAACTTGGAAATGAGTTCCCTAAGAGAAAACATCCATAGAATCAAAGTTGTGGAACATCAAATTTTGAGTCTAATTTTTCGCAATGGATTTCCCGTTTCGATCCTTAAAATACTGGCCTAATATTCTTTAAATCAGCCGCAATTTTTCAAAGCAGCGGCTCTGGAACAGCAGACAAGGTTCTTTTTAAACAGAATAACACACACTTTACTAATATAAAATCAAACCTATGCCTGCGATGAGGTCGATTTTTGGGCCCTGGCTCCAGAGCTAAACTGTTGAATAAAAAAACAGAACTTACTAAGTACAGAACCCAAGAATTGTAAAGGTACAGGTTTTTTAAAAAAAATATAAATATTAAGTATGGTTTTTTTTTCATATTTTTTACTTCTATTGTTCAATACACACACAAAAAAAAAAAATATTTTTTAGTGTAACAAAAAAATACGCTTGAGAGATAATAAGGACCTCAAAACATGGTAAAGTTTAAAAAGTATAGACAATGCAATTAATGTAAGACAAAATCAAATTTTAAGTGAGAAACAAGTTCATATTTGTTTACAATATTCCATAAAACCCTTAAATATCTATCACTTTTCAAGGAAATCAAAAAAATAAATTTTCTTTTTCTCGAAATTTCAGATCATATAATTTCATCAATGCAACATCTGCCAGTATAGCTTCTCAACATTTTAACTGACAAAACATGGAAAACAAATTTACTGTTTTAATGCTAATATCCACATGTTTTGGACAATTCATTCCTATCTTTATCATTTCTCACACTGCCCTTTAAACAGTTCAAACCTTAATAACGCATATAAAGTTTGATTAACTTCTTGAAAGATGATGTTTCCCTCTTTCTAGTGATAATAATAACCACTGGTGTCACATTAAAATCCCGCCTGTCAGTCTCTTTTTGTAAGAATTACAAACTCCTTCTGCTTTGAATCCAAGAAAATACTTGGGTATAATGATTAACTTCCATGCTTTTCATTTCTTTCTATATAACGATTAATATCATAACCAGAGCTAACAAAGTAAATATAACTTTCTCATAATACAATTACAATTGCTAGTAAGGTAAATGAAATCATTGAAACTATTTGGACCATTATAAATTTGTACTCTAAATTATAGTAACAGGACATAATTTAATATCATTAATACCATTCAGCACTGAGGTATAAGATTAAGGATGGATTAGCATTAGCATTTAACAAAATTTTTCATTTATAACAAGAATTTTCTTCTTGATTCCCACTGACCAAGTAACTTTTGTTAGATTCTGTAAACATATCTCAGTCTATAACTAATAGTGTCTTAGCCTTTTTTATTCAAGCCCATTTTAAAGGCTTATCCTCTGTAGTATTCCATTATCAGTTTAAAATGATAAAAATATACTGTTCTAGCAATTGTGATCGGTATAGGAAAATAAAATTAAAAATGTTTTGTACACATAATTATAATAATTAATGAAATTACCTTGCTGAAGAAATGGTATGTGATCATCCTCTATGTAGCCAAAGGTAGACTTTTCAAGAAAGTGCAGAGGTTGATTACTTGCTACTTGTCCTAAGGCCTTTAATTTTTGTTCTATCTGAGCAAGACTTCGATGCCATTGTTCAGTTTCTGGGAAAAAACTATAAAATTTTGTATCCTTAGTACCCATCAGATCAAGTAGTACTAACATATCCTGTAAGCAAAAAAAAAATAAACATTAAATGTAGTATTGTTGAGTAATAAACACTGATTAATTACACCAATCTTTTAATGGTCCTTCTCATGTTAATGTTTTTATTCATAGAGAAAATATAAGGGGAAAGTGCCATACTATTAGATTTTCACCAGTCCTTTTCATCCAATGTATTTTGAAAAATAGAAATAAAATAAAAAAATCTAAGGCTTTACCTGACACTGTAAGTTGGTGCATACCTTTCTTTTATTAAAGCATTGCTCTGAAGATCAAAAATAAAGGACAAATTTAAAATGATTAGTTAACTATACCGAGCTTATTATAAACTGATGAGAACTTGTCACCACGAAACATTAGTAGATGTAAAATATTATAAAGTATATCACTGACCGATGGTTAGCACTATAGAAGAATAGGTCTACAATTCGAGGATCTATAGGCCATGATTTGGAAATAAACCATTTTGTCTTCTTCTTTTTTTTCCAATTTCATTATTTATGCGAAAAAAAGGATACAGAATAAATATAAAAAATAAAGTAAAATAGATTATAGAATACCATTTGATCAAGTTCCGAAGTAGCTGAATCTTTCCTAGGATAAGGACTTCTGCCCATCTTTTTTGCCAAATGCCTAGATCCATAGATACTATCTGTACTGGACCATGTCTTGAAAGCTTCTTCTCCATCAAAAAATATTAACATCAAGCTAACTCTCTGAAAATATCAATGACATCTATATCAATGAGCGCCATTAATGAAACATTATACATCAGTATGACTAAAAGAGAGAAATCTTATTAATTTGCTGAATCATTTACTTAAAAAATATAGAGTAAATACATTAATATATCAAATTTCAGAAAGCAATATCACACCCTCAAGATTTCATAATCTTTATATATTTTCATGGACAATGATTCAGATCCACTTAGTTCATTATCAAGTCCAGTTTCATTATAATTTTCAAAAATTTTTATCTATTAAGAAATTGTCCTATTTAAAAATTAAGCTATATTTTTTAATCACTTTAATATTTGTTTTGAGAAATTCTGTCCACTAAAATAAACCAAAATTATTGTGAAATACTATACATTAAAACAAACAAAAACTATTAAGTGTGAAGGAAGTAATATTTCTTCCTGAAATTTCACATATTAACACGTCGCAATGAATCATAAAATTCTTGAATATGATAGATATGATATAGCTGTCCTTTGAAGTAATCAAGAAGACATTGAGAAACTCGCTAAGACTCTGATAAGAGAAGCAGAGGAAATCAGGTTACAATTAAATGAAAACAAAACAAAATATATGATAATAAGCCTAAATTTACATTCCAATAACAGGAGCTGTGTTAAAGGGGAATTGTTTCTGAGAGTATAAAAATTCAAATACCTCAGCTCCACAATAACCTTAACCAATGGCCAATGGTCAGAAATAGATCAGCGTATAAGAAGCACAAACAGAGCTTTCTTCTCCCTTTCAAAGGTATTGAAATCCCAAAATATCTCAAATTAAGTGTGTACAATGCTATGATAAAGCCAGTTCTAATATATGGCTGTGAAAAATGGACACTAACCAGAGCCCTATAAAAAAGTATTAAAAGATTTGAGAGAAAAATCATCTGCACGATAACCGTATCGTCCTGGGATCAGGGTACTAACACATGGAGAAGAAAGACCAATAAAGAGCTGATTAGAGAAACTGGTCAATCAATATCTCATGAAATGAAAGCACAGAGGTTAAGATGAACCAGGCTTGTAGCTCAGAGTAATGCATCTGGAAGCATCTAAACGACAATGAAGTCTCAATAATAGGCAATAGACCGTTAGGAAGGCCTAAAATCAGATGGATAAATAGAATAAACAACAATGTAATAGAGCTGCATGCAGATAACTGGAAAGTAATAATCCAAGTAAAGTAATCATAGCCTAAGCAAGATAGGCAGAGATGGAGTAGGCTTGTTAAGGTAGCAAAAGATCTACAAGATCTGTAATCCAACAGAAAAAAAAAAAAAAAAACTTTAATATACTTCAAAAAAACGTTAAATACAAAAACAAAATATATTAGAGATAAATATATTCCAATTCACACTGTAAATTCACAAGAGGGTCATGAAAATACCACTGAAGACACTAAACATGAGCAATCCCCCACAACAGCATAATTGATCAACAGCTGTGAAGAAAGAGGTAAAGAAAATCCCTCAAGGTCTTTTGAAGCTAGTTTCTGGTGAGTGAATGGGAGCTGTTGCCCTAATAATATCTGAGATTTAACTCCTTCAGACCTCTTGTTCACTGATATCATTTATAAATTTCAATCTAATTTCCTTAAATGTTCATCATGCTTAGGCCAACCGGCCACCGGAGCTGAGCAGAGCGTAGCTGAGTCAGCTTCCAAAACTGAACCAAAGGATAATGATAGGGCGGCCACCAGAAGCGGAGCTGAGATGAGCAGCATAGCAAGGGTCAGCTCAGCTCAGTTTCAGGTCGACCGGGGTTCGGTTTTGGAAGTTGATTCCGCTACGCACAGCTTCCCCCACCACCATTCGCACACAACCTTTGTTTCTTAGGGTCATTCTTTTTTTTTTTTTCTTGTTTTCACAACGTCTCAAATTATTTTATTTTGGTTCAGTGTAAAATATGCAATGTATGTGGAAGAATTCTTAATCGAATGTGTAAGTCCAGATATTTGATTTTTCTTTTCAGCTACGACATGATCAAATTAGCTAAATTTTTAAAATGTTATATATGATATATATATATATATATATATATATATATATATATATATATATATATATATATATATATATATATATATGTAAATATTTAAAAATTGTATCCACTTGTTTCCACTGCACAACCTCTCAAATTATTTTATTTTTAATGTGTAAGTGAAAATAATCGATTTTATAGACAAATATGTAATTTTTCTATTCAGCTCCATGATCAAATTTGCTAATTTTTTAAAATGTTTTATATGCTATATATATTTAAAACACATATATATATATATATATATATATATATATTTTTTTTTTTTTTTAAATGTAATCTGCTTGTTTTCACTGCACAACCTGTGTTCAGTATAAAATATTCGATTTTATACACAAATATTTGATTCAACCACGGCATGATCAACATTGTTATTTTTAAAAAATGTTACACAGAATATTAGAAGAGTGCCGATGCAAGGCAAGTTGCTGACTGAGCTAAGCTTTGCTACACAATCGGTTGCCGACCTCCTCTTGCTATGCTGAGCTCAGCTGCACTTTCGGTGGTCGGTCAGCCTTATACTGAATATCAGTAATTTGTTTCCTGTTATATATCAGTTACAATAATAAGAAAATACACTGACAGGCAAAAAATTCCACCCACTTGATTTTTCATGTTTTCATCTAAAAATATTTCTGCTTTGGATTGGTCTATTGTTTTTAATGAACAAATAGGTAATCTTTTTGTTTGTTTTCAATTAGGAATATTAATATAGAGGACAATAACCCTTAATCCTTAATTCAATGAAATGATTCTAGATTCCAATGTTTACTTTCTATGGAATCAAAATGTTTATTCAGTATCATTAGTTCAGTGCCGTCTCTTGCAGCACATTTCTTAGTCTCTGGCTTTTAATTTTTTCAATATTAAGTTTAAAAATGCCTCTTAGTGCTGAGGATGTTGCGCGTGGTGTGGCACTTATTGATAATGAACGTTCCATTAGATATGCAGCTAATGCCATCGGAGTTTCATACGAAACTTTACGAGACGCCATCAGGCGTTTTCGGGAAACTGGTTCTCACAATAGAAGGCTCGGTTCTGGACGGCCTAGGGTAACATAACCACGGGATGACCGGTTTTTGACTTTGAGAATTTTACGAAAACGACACCTTACCGTTGTTCAAGCGATTCATCAGCTCGAAGAAGTTCGAGGTGTGAAAATTTCTGAACATACCACTCGGAGAAGATTAAATGAGTATGGATTAATGGCTTTTCGTCCAGTAAGAGGACCAGAGTTGACCAGAACTCACCAAGTAACACAGCTGGCTTTTGCTCGAGAACACAGCCATTGAACTATGGACGAATGGAATGCTGTGATTTTTACAAATGAGTCAAGATTCGCTCTTTGATCTCCAGACGGGCGTGAAAGGGTGTGGAGAAGAAGAAACGAAAGATAAAAAGCCTGTAATTTTTCCCAAAGCCAACCTTTCCAACGTGGTTCCTTAATGGTGTGGGCTAGGATTTCAATGGAGCGTCGCATAGAATTGGTTGTTGTTCGTGGAGAGTCTTTGATTCGCTATGTAGATGAGATTTTGAAACCTCATGTGTTGCCTATCCCCAACGAAATCGCCGATCGTTCTATTCTAATGCACGCCCACATAGCGCAGACGTTCCTTCAACAGAACAATATTGAGGTTTTAGCCTGGTCAGCACGTTCTCCAGATTTGAACCCCATTGAGCATTTATGGGATAACCTCGGAAGACGAATAAGAGCGCGTGCAACACTTCCTGATACACTGCAGGACCTTGAAAGGGCTCTTCGGGAGGAATGGGCTATCCTCCAGCAAAGGGACATTTCTCCTCGACTGGTGGAAAGTATGCCGAGGCGTCTTCAAGAAGTAGTGAAGGCAAGAGGAGGAAACACGTGCTACTAAACGATGATGTAATTAATTTCTTTTAGAATAATAATGGTTCGTTTTTCAATATTTTTTTTCTAATCTTTCTTACCCAATCACATTTTGATTATTAAAGGTAAAAAAGATTATAAAATTCCATAAATACTAATTATTATCTACAAATACCATGTATTATATACAAATACAACTTTTTTTACAAGTGGGTGGAATTTTTTGCCTGTCAGTGTATATATAACTTTAATAGGGTAATTCACAGGTTCTGGTCATAATTAAGGAAGTTAACTGATAAAAAAAGGGTTATTGCCTATACAGTTTATCAAATGAAATTTTGGTTACTTATTTAGAATCACAACCACATATTCCATTGAATGTGAATCTTTCAAATATGCTATATTTTCTCTTAAAATGAATTTTTATAATTTTTAACTAAAAGACTACAAATACGAATTATGGGTAGTATGAAATTCTAAAAATTAATTATGGACATGTTAAAAAAAATTAAATAATTATTACGTTCACTTATGTATGTATGTAATATATGATAAGAAAAATGATTGCGATCATTAAGAATTTTGAATCTGAGTTTTCATTACAAATACACGTTTTAAGATCCCCTGAGTCAGAATAACCAAGTCCCACAAAAAGGTCTGTGCTTATATGAACAGACCAGCTCAAAAATTAAATTAAGTATTTAAGGTATCTAAATACCTGAGATTTTACAGCAACTTTAACATAAAAACAACTTAATGGAAATGGTAATTTATACGATAGATTTTACACATTTTTACAATTTTCTTGAGAATGATCCTGATTAAACAATTTTTATTACAAATCTGATAGAGTTTAAAAGTCAAAATTACTTTCTCTAAACTACTTTTAATTTGTTTGCAGTCATAAAAATGGATAAACATGAACCATGAAAGACTGTAATAATTAAGAAGGGAAATGGGAGAAACATTTTCTCAGGTAAATTCAGGCGGGTTTCAATAAGAAAGTATATTTTGTGTTCCTGTTTAAGTTTCAGTATGGTTCATATAAGCATATTAAGAATAGAGTACAGCAATTATAATTTTTATCTAAGATTTGATATTTTATTTTAAGATGTGTACCTTTTGCCATACTTCAAGTGAAAGTGAGATCAACAAATAAAAAAATGTAACTAAAGACTATTTTGTACCAGAAGTTTAAAAAATGGAAATTCTTACAAGTAAAAAAAACAAAATTATCTTGTAAAATACAGCAATCCTACTACAATTAACACTTCTTTTTTTTTATTAAATAAAAACAAATAAATATAAATTAAAATACATCTGAACAAAATAAATATTTAAGAAAATGTTTCTACTTACTGGATTTTGAATTCTAATTAATGGGGTAAGTACTTTCGCCAGATGCATAAGCATAGCACAAGGTACTGCAGAATCTGTTGCCCCAAGGAATTTAAAATCCTTGAAATACTTGGAATCATAGTGACAAGATAAAGTCAAAAATCTTGCAGCGTTTGGATCTAGTTTTGCAATGATGTTCGTAAAGCTGAGTTTTCCAAAATTTGGCGTTATATCATCAAAAGCATCATATTCCACATCATATCCCAATGATTCTAACTCGGATCCTATAAACTATAAAAAAAGTAAAATTAAAAATTGTTGAATAAAACAAAGATTTATAAAAACTTTTACTTTAAAATTAAAATGAGGGATTTTTTTTTTAACAATGATAAAATATTATTAATTTTATCTGAATTATCACAAAAGATGAGTTACTATCTTAGTTGCCTAATTTAGTTCATATATAAATTTGTTGTTAATGTTTTAATTAAGTTTTAGTTTGATTCATATCACAGATAGGGTACAGCAGCTATTGTTTTTTATCCAAGAATTGATATTTTATTTCATTAATAAAATAATTTAGGATGTCACAGAGTAAAAATTCTCAATTATTAAAAGAACAAATTAACTTATATTTATAATACCAAAACCTTTCTGAAGTAGATAAAGATGTATAACAATCATGATTTTTCATTTTTAAACAATTTGTATTTCTCAAATGCAAAATATTCTCAAAAAATAAGTATTTGTATTTTATTTTTCAAATAAAAATATGAATTCATAAAAATGTGATATTCAATAATATTTTACAAAAAAAATATTACTAAACTGAGTAACAGATTAATAAAAATTAAATAAAACAAAATATTTATAAGAAACAGTTATACACAACAAATACAATTTAATTCACTACTAGCCCATTTGTTAGAAGTATTACTGCCAAAATTTGAAAAATTCTCTAGCAATAAGTATTATCAACTATTTAAATACATAAAAAGTGAAAGTGTTATAACTGTGTAATGGTTCTGGAAATTCACGATATCCCTACTGATTAATATTAAATGAATAAAAATAACATGATACAAAAAAAATATGATAAAATTTGATTGTTTCAGTATAAAGAAAAACAAAGTACCTCTTTAACTCTTTCATGGGAAGGTGTCCCTACAACTCTTGGTACCAAAATGTGATTGAGGGCATCTCTGAAATAAGTATCATTGTACAATGATGACAATTGAACAAGCTCTGAGCTAGTTAAACTTTTTGATGCATGGACTTTCTGAAATTGGAAACGAAAACAGGATATAAATAAAATTGCAAACGTTCCACAATTGCTTTCAAAATTTGACTTCAAAAAAGGGTTGAATATTAGCATACTCTTTCTTCATGAAACTGGAGACTCAATGATGCTTCATATAGGTGAAAACACAAAAACAAACCAACACCACACACTAAAGTCGGGGTTAGAAACGTCATTGTTCCTGCCAATATTACGAGTCTAATAAATTATGTTCGCATTGGCGAAACACTTATATCGAACTTACCCTCACCAACCTCAACCGCCTACTGACATCCCTTCTCCTCCGCGTGGGAAGTGTCAAATTTGCTATAACCAATCAGAAAGGTTGATAACCTTCTGGCTTTTGTATGTTTTTGTAGTTGTGTTAGTTTTTGCTGAACGTATTTATCCTATTTTTGTTATTGTTTTAAGTAAAACAAATTTTAACTAACTGAAAGATTGCAGTGGAAGTTTTAGTTTTAATATTTACATTCTTAAGTGTTTGATTAGGTTATGTTGTGGTGTATAATTGAAATTTTAGTTTATTAAAGTAGGATAAAGATGGGAAAGCACGAAGTGGGGACTCCTAAGTATATTGCCAATAAAATAAAGGCAAAAGGTTTACAAAAACTGAGATGGTATTGTCAAATGTGTCAAAAACAGTGTCGTGATGAAAATGGTTTCAAGTGCCACACTATGTCAGAATCTCATCAGCGGCAATTGCTGTTGTTTGCTGATAATCAGAATACATATTTAAATCAGTTCTCAAAAGAATTTTGTGATGGTTACCTTGAACTCCTTAGAAGACAGTTCGGAACCAAAAGAGTTCATGCCAATAGGGTATATCAAGAGTATATTTCTGACAGACATCACTTACACATGAATGCAACCCAATGGGAAACCTTAACAGATTTTGTTAAGTGGTTAGGACGAGAAGGCAAATGTGTTGTGGATGAAACAGAAAAAGGATGGTTTGTTACCTACATTGATCGTGATCCTGAAACAATAAGACTGCAAGAAGCATTAGTCAAAAAGGAGAAAATGGATCGTGATGACCATGAAAGAATGATGAAAATGCTTGAGAAACAAATAGAGAGAGGCAAAAACTTGGATTCTAAAGTTCCTGAACATACTCCTACAGATTTGGTAAGAAATGAAAATGAAAAAATCACACTTGCTCTTAATACTTTTAAGAAACCAGAACCTATTAAAATTGACCTGAAAGGCTCTGCTCTTTCTAAGCTAGCTGTTGAATCTAACAGTAAAAAAATGAAGAAAGAAGAAAAAAGAAAATTATCTGCTTTAGACCAAATTATTCTTGAAGAAGAAGAAAAGAAAAAGAAAGTTAGAAAGAAAGAAAACTGGATTACTGAAGATATTGTTGTCAAAATAGTCACTGATTCACTTGGTGACAGATATTTTAATAAAAAAGGTGTTATAATTGAAGTTATTGATAAATACGCGGCTCTGGTGAAGATGTTAGATTCAAATCACAAGTTAAAACTGGACCAGTCACATCTAGAAACGGTTATTCCTAAGCCAGGAAGAAAAGTGAAAATTCTAAATGGTGCATATACTGGCTTGATTGCAGAACTTGTTGATATAATCCCAGAAGACTTTAGTGTTTCTGTTAAAATCTCTTATGGTCCATTAAGAGGGAAAATGGTAAATAAATTACCTTATGAAGACGTCAGTAAATTAATGACTGAATAATCTCTGTAACGGTTTAATGTATAAATTCTGTATTGACTCATGTATTTTTAAAATGTTGAGCATAAAAGTGATCGTAAGAAAACATTTCATGGAAACTACTATAAACATCTTGTATATTTGTGTAAATCTACTTTCTTTTTTGTAATTTTTCTTTGTTCTTTTTAAATATAAGTAAGCTGCATTAATCCATTTTTTTAAACCACCTTCACCCTTATATTATATTTTTTACAAGTATTTAATATCGATTTTGTTAATGAAACATTTATGATTGGATCAATTCAACTTTACATTATAAAAAAAATACTAGTACAATAAAAAAACATGATTATAATATGTAATACTTGAAATTGGTTTAAAGGGAATAAGATGATTGGGGAAAGGGAGCAGGGTTCAGGGTTATTGTAATGAATGCCCTGCATGTCATATTATCACTATTCAGCTCACTTTTTTTATTAGAAATTTCTTTTAGTTGAAGTTCTGTTCAACAAAACTTTGATGACAACGAAAAATTGTCTCAGAAGGTCTTTCATTTCTTCTATCCTATGCCTCACAATCCATTATCAGCTTTGGTATTCTATTAACATTCATCCATCTCATGTGGCCATACCATCTCAGTTTTCTTTCTGCCACCTCTGTTAAGACATTCTATCTACTGCTGCTACTATTCGGCCTTGTGACCCATTTGTTGAGTCATAGCCTGCTCTATTATAGACCACCAGTTGTCTATTCTGTGCTGATGCCCTCCATCTTCTTACTTTAAGCAGAGATCTTGTATCAAGAGGCTTCCCACCTAGCACCATAAATTTCTTCCCATAGAATCCTGGAAGGTATTTAGAACCATTCTTGAGAAGTCTTGATGCTTTTATGAATACGGATAAATCCATTTACAAAAATATGTATTCTTTATTTAATTTGATAGTCCTTCTTCTCCAGGTGCATTATTCTTATATTCGATGAAGCACTTTCCTTTCAAATCTGTGGAAGACTTGCTCTTGGGTTTTAGTCGTAATCCAACATCCTGAACCATATGTAAGCACTGGCTGAATAATTGTTTTATATATTCTTTTCTTTGATGCTTTGAATATAGAACCCCTTCTTAAATGTTTTGAGAGGAAGAAACAGATTCGATTTGATGAGAGGATTCATCTTTGAATTTCTTCCTCTGTGCTGTTCACTTGATTCACTTATGGTCCCAAGTATACGAAGGAAGGGGGCGGGCTGACGTGTGTGCATCGCACCGCTCATTGCCTGGCAACCCTGATAACCGAAGTTGTAGACAATAAAATTTCGAGTTCCCGTCCAGGTGCCTAGGGCTCTTTTAAATCCCCCGCCCTCACCTCCTGACCCAGGAAAATCCCCGTATAGTCTAAAAGGCGACATACGGGAGAACAAAAAAAAAAAAGTATATGAAGGGTTTTAATTTTTCAAACCTATACTGCCCTATCAAGATGTGACTTTCTTCACCTTCGCTGGTAGATATGGTACATATATTCTTGATTTTCTCAGTACTAATAATAAGACCCAGTTTTGCAGCAGACTCTTTCCAATTCCTGAAATGCCTTTCTAACAGAGTTTAGAATTCTCTCAGCAAGGGACAAATCATCCGTGAATCTTAAAACCAGGATTGTCCTGTTGAGAAAAGTCACTGCCACTGGTATATATGCATTTTAATGGATTTTTCAAGAGAAACGTTAAAAATTCAACATGCGAGGCTATCACCCTGCTCCAGTTGTAAAATCTCTTGATAATTTCCTGTTCATTCTAAAGGAAGCAGAGGTTGTCCTTCATGGTCATTTTTATCAGTCTAACTAACATCTTCCTGATTTCTTGGAAGGTAGCTTTGTCTATTTTATAATTGTCAAAAGTGTTCAAAAACACTTGAAGTGGCCCAGGTCGATATAAAGTCAACACATTCCATAAGACTATCCTGTAGTCCAATTGATGGCTGGTAAGTTGCTTCCCATATATTTTATAAAAACACTTTTTCATTATTACTTTAAATGACAAATAGGCAATAAATCATTACTTTTAACATTTTTCTTTTAATAAATAAATCGTGTATTTAGGCAGTTATGATTATAATTATAAGTCCAAGATCATAGAAAAACAAGAAGTAAAGGTTTTGCAACAATTAATTGTGATCATTTTTGCTAAAGACACTGATACTTTTAAGTGATAGAATATAAAAAAAACATTTTTTTTACACAACTTGATGTGAATCTCATGTTTTTTTCCCTAATAAACCCTAACTTAATTTTACATGGATTTGAAACTTATTTAATCAGAAAGTTTTAGTAAAAGTGGGGTGTCTGTGGTATAGTTGAAACATGATAAAAAAATCTCGATTTCACTATCATACAACTTTTTGTTTTGAGCTAGACTGTTCTTATTTATACAAACATATACAGACCATTTTGCGTGACTTGGTTGTATGGATTCAGAATACCTCAAAACATATATTTGCGTTGAAAACTCAGATTTGAAAATTTTCACAATCGTAATACTTTCCCTTATAGTCTGTTGACCAGACCCTCCTAACGTGCAACCCTCTCCTCCCTCCCACATCCCTTTAAATTGCATATGGTTGTGGTCCTTGGAACAATTTATTTAAAAAAAAAAAAAAACAATGTTCCCACAAAAAAAAAAGTCTGCCAAGTAAGTTGAGTATATTTCATTCGCTAAAATATTAAAATATTACAAGGTATACAATTTTTCGTATAAGAATAAAATCTCTGGGAGAAGCCGTTTCGGAAATACAGTTATTCTTCAACATTCGCGGGTTTGATATCCACGAATTTCGTTTATAAGTTAATATTAAAATGCAAAAGAGTGCCATATTTGAAGATTCCATATTTGATAATTTTTAATTAAAAAAAAACAAAAAAAAAAAACAATGCATACTGAACATACATTTCACTAATGTCAGTGCAAAAGGTCGTATGTAAAAATTGATTGTTTTGCAAGAGTGCTTAAAAACATTATTTCTTTATGCTGTATTAGTATAATTTCATATTTTATTGTTATCTGCTATTTTCCGTAGTAGCAGACTACTTATATCAGTTGCAGACTACAAAATGTCACCTTTAGCACAAATAGAATAACAGTTGAAAATTGTTGCATGCGACCTTTTGCACTAATAATAGTGATAAATATTTAATAGGTACGTTTTCACTCGTAAAATGGATGGGACAAGAAAATCCATAGCAAAAATTCAACATATTTTTTCGGAGTTAACGAGACCAATACTTTCCTTCAGTCAGAAATGCTTTAAGCTAGAAAATATAAAAATATGGGTGAAGTACACATAACTAAGACAATGTTTTTATGAGATTATAAAATTTGATAAGGTTTTATTCAAAAACTTAATTTATATTTTATTGTTTGGTCGCTTCCAAACGTTGCTGACATGACACTTACTGTCGTTACTAAGATTTCGTGAAATTTTCAGTAAATTTAAATAATTTTTTTCTCTGTATTTGTAAAAAAAAAGTCTTATTTGTGATTGTTTTATTTCTGTTGAAGTTCAACCAGGTTATAGTGTTCTCGATTTCCTCCATAAACATTTTTCTGAACTTTACTCATATTTTTATATAGTAGCTCAAATTGGTTTTGTTCTGCCTGAAGAATCATATTTGTCTCGTTAATTCCGACCGAACAAAAAGTTGAAATTTTCCAATGGATTATTGGATCCATCCATTTTACGGGTGAAAGTATACCTATTAAGTATATAGCGCTACTGTTAATGCTAAAAGTCGTATGTATAATTATACAATTTTTATTTTGTCTGTGATAAAGGTAACATTTTGTAATCTGCACCTGATATAGGTAGTCTGCTACTATGGAGAGGACAATAAAATATGAAATTATACTAATAAATCATAAAGAAATAATTAGTTTTTATGTTCTTCTGAAAAACACTCAATTTTTACATACGATCGTTTGCACTAACAGTAGCGACATGAATGTTCAGTACGTTCTGGGATTTTTTTAAATCACGAATCATCAAATACGCGATCTGGAAATGGGAAACTCCTTCGCATTTTAATATTCTCAGATAAAAAAATTCGTGGATATCTAACTCGTGAATGTTGAATGATCACTTGGTCATAATTCTATAATTCCGTTATTTTTCATCAGATTTTCTTGTTTCTTCGTTTGATAGCATCACTACTAAATATACTCCATCATATGCGCAATGAATATAAAATATTATCAGAAATAATATATGAAAATATGACCATAAATGACACTATGTGAGATATCTTATTATAAAATTCATATTTTTTTTAGCTTCTAAAGGCACTATATTTATGTATATAATATATATTATTTCTTATATCTCTCTCTATATATATATCGCCTGAAACAGGATTCAAGGCTCCAACATAAAATTATTATATCATACTACTTTATTTTTTAATCGCTTTTTTTATACATACCGGTTATTTCTCGTCCATGAATAGTTCTCCATTTTTATAATTTATATGTTTTTTACTACACATCCAACCCATTTTTTATCTTTCTTTATTTTTTTTCTTTAATATATAAGAATGACACAGAACTATATTAATGTTTATTGGTCATAATAGTTATCATGTTTTCCTCCGTGCCACAGGAATTGACATATTAATTCCAATGAAGAGAAGGATGGTTGGGGTGATCAGTCAGAAATAAGAAGGCAAAAATAAATAATAATATTTATTTTAACATTTGCCGACGTTCCGACCTGAAGTTCAGGCCTTCATCAGGGCTAAGAAAAGAACCAGATAACAAGGTATGAGAAACATAAATAATGTAGGTAAGCAAATTAAAGTAAAATGAAGTGGGTAGAATAATGACATTAGTAAGAACTGGGAGATAAATATTAATAACCGTTACAAAGTGTAGAAAGATGAAGTAAACATAATAAAAAAAGGTGACATAAGCATTAAAATGGTAATCTTAGAATAAAATGCAAAACAGAAAAAAATAATATGAAGTTATATAAGAAATGAAAATAAATAGTAAAATTAAGATATCGTAAATAGCAGATCACAATAATATAACAGACCACAATAATCGCTCTTCCTTAATCTCAACTTACACTAATTCTCCACAACCCATTCCTAACCTTTCTGACAACATAAATAAAGTTCTACGATCCACTAACCCTAACACACGACTTGCATTCAAATCTCACAACACA